CAGAGGCGTGGTCTGGGGGGGGGGGGGGGGCAGAGGCTTCGCCCGAGACCATTTTCAGGACAGTGGCGACCTTTCTAATGAATGTTTTACTAAAATTCAACAATAACTTTCAAATGCATGTAAAAACAAACAACATCTCCATATTGGAATTACAAACTTAAATACGTCATCGGCTGTTGTGTAATAACCTAACGTTTTAAGACGCCCGCAAGTTGTTTTCTTCTTCAACTTCTAGGAGCAGGGTGAAGCGCTAAGCTCACATTTGAAATAATTTTAGTTAGTTTCAACATATTATTACACACTGTGAACGTTTTACTACTCGCTTGTAATGGACTGGTCGCAACAAATTACAAAGTGCTTGGATCTTCTCTCTAACTCCAACTGATTTTAAGTGTTTCCTTTGTTGTGTCGGCACTGTGTTTTTGCTTGTTGGTATCGACCTTAAGACTGTGTTCTCAATTATTTTTAGTAAACCAGTTTTCTGCTAACTTAGCTCTATAAAATTACGTTCCATCTAGAGACGTTTCTGAAAAGTCAGCAAGCAGTGTACGCTATACAAACCATTTGCTACTTCTTTCTTCTATTTCTTTTCTACCCCGAATATAGCAGGCCCTTTACAGGCCAGCAGACCAACAACGTCAAATGGTATTTGAATGAAGTGTTGGAGCCTACTCAGCCTTGATTGGTACCTAGCTAAAATATTCAAGTTAATCAAAGCTTGATTGATACGTGACTAACATTGATTGGTAGCTGCTTGCGATCCATCGTCAAAGCTGTAAATCTGTCTTATGGCTTCTGTTATTTTTGAACTATGTTTAATGCAATCGTAATACCAATCTGATTATAATAAAGAAGTAGTATGAGAAAAAAAACCATAAAGAAAAACAAACAATACACATTTAACTGAAGTCTTTGTTTATTTTTTGTATTCATGCTTCATAATAATGTGGCCCATATTAAAAGTTTTACAGCAACAAGGTGAAAATAATGAGTACTCTTGTCGCGTGACCTTCATCGGGTGTGTTAGCTACTTCATCGGAAAAACAGAAAACAGAAAAAGTAAACAATATACATGTCACAGGGTTTTTGTGTTACTGAGTTCACGATATAAATTTGCCACAGGCCTTTTCCCTACCTTTCATCTATCACATACGAAATCACAAGACAAGCCTTCTTTTACAATTTTCATATTTATTTTGTCTCCACATAGACAGCGTGTTCAGCCAAGCTACGCCATGTTCTTGCCTTCCTCTCCTTCTCGCGCATGCGCACAGCCACTGTCTTTCTGATGCAATCCCACATACACACTCCCAAGATACGATCCACCAATGTTTCACTGTTATAATACATTTTCTGAGGCCTGAGCTGATAAAGAAATAAAGAATTTATTTGTTTGTATTTGTATATGGTTATTTTTTCCCCCAAAGAAGTCTAACGATGGAGCTGCCAGTTAAATATTTTAATTCATCGACTGAGTTTAACATTGTTTTCTCAACAGTCCGACCAGTATTGTAAAACCTAGTTGAAAATCTCATGTTTAAAACTTATTTAATTAATCAGTCCAAAACAAATAATTTAATGTAACATTTCTCTCAATAAATATCAAATTTTACTTAAATGACCACACCTGATTTACTTGACATCATATGACTTAATTAACCTCAAATGACTTAATTAACCTTACACCAGTAGACTAGCCTGACTTGATTAACATCAGCTGACTAGATTCTGCTCACCTGAGAGTTAAAGACAAACAGGACAGCACTCGCCCAGTGGGACGACAGGTTGAGAGCCGTCAGCACACACAGGCGGTCTGATGCAGGCCCAGATACACACGGCACGACGTACAGCCTGCATGGATCAACATTATCAGGTGACCACTAGATCAACATTAGATCAACATTGGATGAATATTAGATCAACATTGGATCAACATTAGATCAGCATTAGATCAACATTAGATCAACATCATCAGATGACCACTAGATCAACATTGAATCAACATTGGATCAACATTAGATCAACATTAGATCAACATTATCAAGTGACTATTAGATCAACATCAGATGACCACTAGATCAACATTAGATCAAAATAAACATTAATTCATTTAAAACATTGGCTTCAATCATGTAGCATTACAAGACTAGAGGCAACATTGTGCTGTACATTAAACACCCACCTCTAGATCGACACTACGGCACTATTGCCGGGATCGCCAATGCCAGCAGACGAGGATAAGGAATTTCATGCTTGTTTTGTCTGTAGGGGTAAAATATCAGTATCAGTATGCGATAAAAGTAGATTCGCCACTTCAATAAATAAATCGAAAACAAAGTTTTAAAACACTTTAGAATATTTTTTTGATTAAATTAAATTTAAATCACAACATTAAAAACAGTTTTATTTACTTGTTTTGTGTCCGACTTCACTGTTGTCAACCTTGTATTCAAATGCTAAACACCAACATCCACATTTTATTAATTGAACACTGGACCAGATTTTTCTGGAAAAAAATAAGCCAAAGTCTTAAAGATAAGAAAAATACATCACGAAGCGAGGGCAATACACTTTTAAAGATGTCGCTCTTCTCCTGTATTTTCTTACACCTGTTGTTGAGCATTTTATTTTTTCTGTGGGACTTTAGAGTACTGAGCGAACTTTGATTGTGCCACAATTTAGGGACACAGATATCATTCACTCATTTGTTAAAAAGATTGGTGGCGTGTATGTCTTTAATTATGTATGTGAGCGACATTTTGAACGCTGATTTACTTAGCAGAATATAGCCGGAGTGATCTCCCGTAAACTTTCTCCAATTCTTATATGCTAGCCGTCTCGGCCAGGCCATGCACTGGCCTCTGTGAAAAACCTATCCGTAAAGGACATTTGACTTGTGTGTTCATTTAGCAGCATATATTCGGCATTACCTGGGTTTAAGAATATATTACTTTTTAAATTAACTCTGACCACAAACAACAAAACCAAAACACACACACACACACACAACGCAAACATAACACAAACACAAATACAAACACACACAAACGAAAACACAAACCCAAACCCAAACAAAACACACACAAAAAGCAAAGACAAATACAAATAGAAACACAAACGCAAACATAAAGGCAAACTTAAAAGCAAACATTAACCAAAGGAATCAAAGTCTAGCCCGGGGCGCCAAATCGCCAATTTAGTAAACGACTATATTACCCTAAGCTTATCCGCAAACGGAAAGATAGAAGTAAACATAGAGGACGTTTAGTAGCTGACTTCTTAACTGTTATTGATTTTAAAAAATAATTAGTAAACAGTTCGTTCAGTGTATAAAATAAATAAAAGGCAGTATTTAAAATACTTACCACATTTCTCTTGATCAATCTCCGCTAATTATGTAATTATTTTTTCCCAACACCAAAACAAAGTAATAAAAAGTAAATTTTTCCCCAACATGTAAGGTTTTTTTTAAGGGAAGTAATTGTGTTTTCCTAATTTTTCAAGTGACGTAATGAGTGCTAAAGGACTAAATGAAAATACTTTTCAGACACAATTAGAATTTTTGTGAAGGTTGATACATTTTCTTTAATTTTGTTGTATGCACATGCATTCAATTAACTCTATAAGTTTGAAAAATGAAATTTTGTTTTATAACACCTTCAATAATATTTTTTATATCATTAATTTAGACGAAGAGCACTTAGGATATATAAAACTATGGCGATGTGATCAATTCTATTTTTTTCTCTATTTCTTTGTAATCAAGGATTCGTTGTCCGCATATCACGTTCACATAGAGAATCGAACTTTATATACTAGATAGCACTAAGGTGGATGGCAACTTCAGTGTCATCGGAATATGGACGTTTTTTTTTGTTTTTTTTTTACGGAGTATAGAGGAATTATTGTAGTTGTGCAAAACATCGAGATTTCGAAAACCTCGATGTTTTGGACCCCTCTGAGTTGGAAAAAACTTAATTTCTTAATTTTGTCTGTCTGTTTGTGTGTGTTTATGTGTCGGTGTGTCGGTGTACACCGTAACTCGAGTACCGTTACAGCTAGGTTGATGAAATTTGACATATATTATATCAATAACTTTTTTAAGATAGCACTCCAATCCACAAAATGTTCACATGCGCAAAACAGAATTTACATTTCCAAATAAAAGGTGATTCACAGAAGTACAAAAATACATTAAGCACGGCATTTTCGAAAGACTGGACTAATATTATTTTGAAAGTTAGAAGTACTTTATTAAAGTACTTTTTAAAGTATCATCATTTACAATGTTAAATTCCTACGTACAAATCTCTTTTTTTTTAAAATTTCTACGTCGTATGTTAAAATATACACCGACCATCACCAGATGTTGTAATTCTTTACATTTAGATGAAGCTAATTAACCAACAAATGACCAACTAAACCAAACGATAAACAGAATAGGGGCTCATTAGTGTCTCCCACATGATGTTGTGGTGACTAAATCGAAACCTCTATTTCTGCCAGAGGCGGAAACCAATTGTTGTCGGTGACGAAAAGAAAGTCTTATTTAAATTATTGCGTTATAGACCAAGTGCAAGGGTGTTTCACTGCTTATCAGATCGTAAACTTGATAATTTGTTTAGGATATATATATATATATATATATATATATATATATATATATATATATATATATATATATATATATATATATATATATATATATATATGTATGTATATATATATATATATATATATATATATATATATGTATGTATATATATATATATATATATATATATACATATATATATATATATATATATATATATATATATATATATATATAGGCCTATATATATATATATATATATATATATATATATATATATATATATATATGTGTGTGTGTGTGTGTGTGTGTTGTGTTTGTATGTGCCCACAGCTTGCCAATATTTCCAACATTAATTGCACTTTACGCCCCTGAACAAGGCTACACTCTATTATTCAAATGAGCACGAAATTGGTCGTGTTTGTTCTGCTATAAATACCTGTTGACTTACCACCAGTGACTAATAAAGCTGTTGCCCTTCTGATTTGGCTGCCAAGTTCTTCTAGTTATCGGTAAGTTTCAGCTGGGTGGGAATTTTTAATCAACTCTTACGCTTTGATGAATAAGACTGTTTGATGGACAGGTCAGCTTGATGGACAGGTCAACTTGATGGACAGGTCAACTTGATGGACAGGTCAACTGGATGGACAGGTCAGTTCGATGGACAGGTCAGCTTGATTGACAGGTCAGCTTGATGGAAGGTCAGCTAGATGAAGAGGTCAGCTTGATGAATAGGTCAGCTTAATGGACAGGTCAGCTTGATGGACAGGTCAGCTTTATGAACAGGTCAGTTTGATGGATAGGTCAGATTGAAGGACGGGTCAGCTTGATGGACATGTCAGCTTGATGGAAAGGTCAGCTTGATGGACAGGTCAGCTTAATGGAAAGGTCAGCTTGATGGACGGGTCAGCTTGATGGACAGGTCAACTTGATGGACAGGTCAGCTTGATGGACAGGTCAGCTTGATGGAAAGGTCAGCTAGATGGACAGGTCAGCTTGATGGAAAGGTCAGCTAGATGGACAGGTCAACTTTATGGAAAGGTCAGCTTGATGGACAGGTCAGCTTAATGGACAGGTCAGCTTGATGGACGGGTCAACTTGATGGACAGGTCAACTTGATGGACAGGTCAGCTTGATGGACGGGTCAGCTTGATGGACAGGTCAACTTGATGGACAGGTCAACTTGATGGACATGTCAGCTTGCTAGACTGGCCAGTATACGTCAGCAGGTTTTTTTTTATTATTGGTAGCTACTAGCTCTCATCGTCTGTCTGAAAATTATACCAACTAGCGTGCAATTATGTGTGTTGAATGTCAGACAATTATGTGTGTTGAATGTCAGACAATTATGTGTGTTGAATGTCAGACAATTATGTGGGTTGAATGTCAGACAATTATGCAGCTATGTTTCATCCTGCTCGAAATGTCAGCCGTGTCTTACGATGCTATAAATGTTCTGTACCAGATGATTCCAATCTACTTGATACTTAGTGTTTCCATTAGCAGTACATCTCTCAGACTTTATTTTATTGTGTTGTTGGTCGTGTCATTTTTTCTCCGTCATGCTTGACCACTTATTTTAATTATTGTGTCGTTATTTTTGTTTTTTTTTGTTATTATTTTAGTAATCGAGCATAGGTTGTGTACTTTTGTTACTAGTTGTGTACAGAACTATGTCATGTACGTTGGTACATAGTCATTGTTCTGTTACTTTACTTGTCCGTATCTTTGTTTATAATCTTATGTTTAAGTCATTATGATTGTGCTAGAATTAACTTAAAGCACCAGGTTTTATAATCTTATGTCTGACTGAGTCATTCTGATTGTGCTAGATTTAACTTCCAGCACCATACGACGATGATGAAATACGTTCTTGTTCTGGTCTTGCTGGCAGCAGCAACTGTCACAGCAGACGACAAAACAGCAGACGACACAGCAGCAGATGTTGCAGGTAATGAAGGAACAGATGAATCAGAAGGTACCTGTGAGATCGATGGCGTCACCTATCAGGTACGGGCATTTAAATTCTCGAAAGTGTTTAAGGTTCGAACCATAAACGTTGTCAAAAACAACGATGGTGAGATAGAGATGTATTGATAAACTCGTGATTGGTGTACTACACCAGTGATCACATCTAGATATAACATTGAATGTAACGTATCAGATCTAGGGACGGAAGAAATGTTAACCTCTTAGGGTGTTTTCTGATGTAAAAATATTCCTGCTATGTAAATGTTTTCTCTGATTTTGTTGTACAATTAAAACTGTGGATTACTTTGGTTACTTCAGTACAATGAAAAACTTCCATCTGATGACCCCTGTACTATATGTACCTGTCGCGGCCAACCAACACCCCTGTGTATGAGCATGTACTGCGGCTGGCCAGACTGCCCTGAAGGCTACGAGATCTTTTACCCAAAAGACGAGTGCTGCCCTGGATGTCAGGTACTGGTGTATGTTTACTTACAGCTTACCTTGACCTTGACTCAAAGATGAGCGCTGCCTTGGGAGAGAGAGTGCGCACATGAGCTTTTATATTTTTTTTTATATTTTTATATTTTTTTTTTTACTTTAACATTGAATAACTTGTTATTAAAATTTAAAGTCACAATTTAATTATCCTTCTCTTTTCATAGCCCATCCCGTAAAGAGTATAGAGCGACCCCTTGTCTGAAGATGTACGGAAGATGATTTTATAATCGGTAAAAAACTGAAACACGAATAATTAATAAAAAAATTTGACTGTTTTCTGTGTACTATTTTCCTAACTTCTGTGTACGACTTTATTAATTACCTCAATAGTTCAAACTGAGTTGATTTATTAATGTTTCTGTAAAATCTTATTGCGGAAGTTGTATACGAGTGTCAGATCACACAATGATAACCCGTTGATCTAGAGTTCGGATCTATGACCAAGTCCATTCAAACTTACCAGTAGTGGGTGATGTTTGTGTCAAATATCACACACCTACAATACACTTTCCACCATTTACTACACTTCATGACAAATACAAACTGATTTAGGACACTTGGTCCCGGGGGACTTTGTATGTTCACGTCACATCTCAGTACCAATAACAACAGACGTGTGTTTATGCGACCGTTTGGATGTCTGTCTGTAACAATCTCATACCATCCAATGTTACGGTTGCGATAACACGTCGTCCATAAACTGTTTGCAACTAATATCAGCTTGATGCACTAATGGCTATTTTCACTTAATTAAGTATATTAATTAGTTGGAGGCTGATGCTTTAGATACATACTACTAGTTATTGTCTGTATTGTAATAGCATTATTAATTAAGTAATATTAGATTTTATAAAGTATATGCTAGTGGTGTTCATAAAATTGTATAAGAAACTCACTTTGTTGAAGATATGTATTAGCATAATTTCACTACCATACCACACGATTGTGAGCACGAATCGTGCATATTACCGTCGCTATTACTTCCCTTTATGTTGGACCCAGTAGTTTTGAATGTGATCAGTGGAGTTACAGGTGGGGTGCTGTGGGTCGGGCCGCCTTGCTTGTGGTGGATGGAGTGAAGATACCACGGGTGACGCTAAATGAGATGTTTACATTTTTAGAAATAAACATCGCTATGAAGAGCTGGGTTAAATAGAAAATAATCTTAATGTATCAATGGGGTGACGAAAGGTTAGATGCAAGCATGACATGACACAATCTTATATGGCTAGAAATTTGAAAAAGAAAACTGACAAGCATCAAGAGAAAATAATAAATTGATGTTTTTAAAACTATCCAATTTAAATAACTGTATATGAAGCATAAATAGATGAATATCTATATCACACAAGGATTATTTACCACTTACAAAAGCACTACCACTACAACACTGCCAACCATATGCTAACACCCACATTCTGTCTTTACAAATCGTATTTAAAATGAACATTCACTTGACGATAAGCTGCGTCGTATAATATAAAAGACAGGTATCAAAGCCAACATTCAAGTTTGATGGACTATGAAATGATTTTCAAGAGCTCTCACAATTGTTACCCCTATGGAAAAGAGTTGTCTATGAATTTGATGTAGGCGTCGTTTTGTTATTCAGTACAGAATGGGACCTGCAACAGATGTTACATGTGCTTACCACGTACACTTAATGTCCAGCAGATATTAGACCACTTATATGACCACACTCCGAATTTCTCTAAGCTAGATAATTAATTTAGATTACCCACAGTGTTTAAGTTGGTGAGTGCGTGGTTGTCGACCCACAAGGTCCCGTGTTCGAAACCTCGGATGGATGAGGATCGGTAGGTGGCAACAGTAGCCAATATTGGAGAGGGAAAGTCGAAATTAAACAGGATTGGGGGGGGGGGGGGATGCGGACCGCACCAGGTGACACCATTTAGGGGGGTGACACCAAGGCAAAAAATAGCAAAATATATAGAGAAAAATGATAATTCCACTTAATTAAGTGATTAATTCGAAAGTTAAATAGTCTTTTAAGAGGTGCAAATCTAAAGTTTGAGAGGGGGGGGGTGCAAATAGAAAGTTTGAAGGGGGGTGGTGCAAATCGAAAGTTTGAGGGGGAGGGGGTGCCTCTGGGGGCTGACACCATTAAGTGCCGCACAGGGTGACACCCAACCTCGCTACGCCGCTGGGGTTACTCGTCAGAGATACTGTGCCACAGCTGAGTCAAGTTGTATAGGTAATACCTCCCCGTGGACCCATTAGCTGTGTGGGGAGATGGGGGGAGCTGATACATGCGCTACTCCTCTTACTTCATATTTACCGCCATAGTTTCCAACAATTCAGTCAGATAATGGGACTATTTAATTATGTATTTTGTAATAAATTATAATTTAACTTACTTATGGAGTCGTTTTAATTTCTTTACCAGTTGTTTAAAAACTAAATTTTATGCTTTTGGAACTTCTACTTGAAACTAGTTCAAAGTGCTAATAGGTTTAGACATGGATAATTTTAGAATTTATGTTGTCACTGATCTCTTTGACACTGTGCTCATATCTAGGATATTTTGTCTTGGTCTCTTTTGTTATAATTTTATTTCCCTCGTTTTCTCAAGTAGTAATAAAAGCTTGTGTTTGTAAGCGCTTTTACATGTTTAATATTTGTAAACTTTCTACCTACATTCATAGTAACTTTTTTTTTTGCTGTCCATCTCCTTAAATTTGATATGCTATTTGCTGTCCGTACCCTACCATCAGGGTATGCTGTTTGCTGTACGCCATATACCATCGATGGAGGCTGTTCGCTGTTCTGCTCCCTAAACGATTAAATGTATAGATGAGGGGAATGAGGGATGGTTAGCTGGTGAAAACAACAAGACACTAGAAAAACATGTTGTAACCTTGAAATATAATGGTGACATATTGAAATGAGATAATTCTAGGTTCTTCCGCAGTGGGCTTTTAACGTAATGATCTATGAAATTATTCAACCATTCGAGCTTCTCTTTTTTAACACATCGGCTTTGTCAGTGTAACATGTGGGATGAGTCAGGGTTGCTAGACGGTTGGGCTAATATATGGGTCAGGGTTGCTACAGGGTTGGGCTAATATATGGGTCAGGGTTGCTACAGGGTTGGGCTAATAAATGGGTCAGGGTTGCTAGAGGGTTGGGCTAATAAATGGGTCAGGGTTGCTAGAGGGTTGGGCTAATATATGGGTCAGGGTTGCTAGAGGGTTGGGCTAATATATGGGTCAGGGTTGCTAGAGGGTTGGGCTAATATATGGGTCAGGGTTGCTAGAGGGTTGGGCTAATATATGGGTCAGGGTTGCTACAGGGTTGGGCTAATATATGGGTCAGGGTTGCTAGAGGGTTGGGCTAATATATGGGTCAGGGTTGCTAGTGATTGACTTGTACTGGTTGGGTCAGGTTGGTAGCTGTCTTTATCCAGCTGTCCTAGTAGGCTGGTAGCTGTCTTTATCCAGCTGTCCTAGTAGGCTGGTAGCTGTCTTTATCCAGCTGTCCTAGTAGGCTGGTAGCTGTCTTTATCCAGCTGTCCTAGTAGGCTGGTAGCTGTCTTTATCCAGCTGTCCTAGTAGGCTGGTAGCTGTCTTTATCCAGCTGTCTAGTAGGCTGGTAGCTGTCTTTATCCAGCTGTCCTAGTAGGCTGGTAGCTGTCTTTATCCAGCTGTCCTAGTAGGTTGCTAGGCTGGTAGCTGTCTTTATCCAGCTGTCCTAGTAGGTTGCTAGGTTGGTAGCTGTCTTTATCCAGCTGTCCTAGTAGGTTGCTAGGTTGGTAGCTGTCCTTAACCAGCTGTCTTAGTAGGTTGGTAGCTGTCATTATCCAGCTGTCCTAGTAGGTTGCTAGGTTGGTTGCTGTCCTTCACCAGCTGTTCTAGTAGGTTGCTAGGTTGGTATCTGACCTTATCCAGCTGTCCTAGTAGTTTGCTAGGTTGTTAGCTGTCTTTAACCAGATATCCTAGTAGGTTACTAGGTTGGTAGCTGTCCTTATCCAACTGTCCTAGTAGGTTGGTAGGATGGTAGGTGTGTTTTTGAGCTAGTGAGAACAAGAGATAGCATCAAACTGCAACAACTGTGACTAATTGCAAGGGATAGCAATAAAAACATTATAGATGCGTGAAGGTTTTCTCCCATTGTGCGATTGTTAAATTCTCTACAATTCACCTTAACGAACTGTGCATACTTAACGCACATGCTGCTATTTTGTGCTAATCGGGTTCATTGTTTACAGCTTTTGGGTTAGAAAAACGTCACGGACGACTCAAGGCCATTCGTGAACTTATCTGATCCAGAAAATTGGATTAACACATCAACGGAGACTAGTTAGGATAATTAGTATCAAGGGGTGTCACACAGATTTGGGTTATACTGACTGGACTCGAGTCAGTGAGTCACTGGACATAAACTGGACGTCAGTAGACATATACTAGACGTCACTGGACATATACTGGATGTCACTGGACATATACTGGACGTCTCTGGACATATACTGGATGTCACTGGACATATACTGGATGTCACTGGACATATACTGGATGTCACTGGACATATACTGGACGTCACTGGACATATACTGGACGTCACTGGACATATACTGGATGTCACTGGACATATACTGGATGTCACTGGACATATACTGGACGTCACTGGACTAATACTGGACGTCACCGGACATATACTGGACGTCACTGGACATATACTAGACGTCACTGGACATATACTGGACGTCACTGGACATATACTGGATGTCACTGGACATATACTGGATGTCAGACCACATAACCTCTCTGGATATAAGCCTTCAGAAATAAACCTATGTATATATTCGTCCCCCGGCCCGAAATTATCTACGATACAAATCCATGGGTTAAATCCGACAGAAAACAACGCGACAGAAAAAAAAAAACGTTTTTATAACAAGCTTTTCTGAAATGCTGCACTAAAAAGTATTATATAAATTATTTTCTTTAAATATATAATAAAGCACCACTTTTTTAATGCCTGTAAAGAATAGATGGGTTGCTTCTTGTATTTTAGTACAGCTAGATAAAATAGATAAAATAATTATACAGGCTATTCTTTATAACTATTTAAAAATGTATATATCTATAATAATAGTTTCGCTGTCTGTGTATCTATCTATCTGTGTATCTATCTATCTATGTATCTGACAAGAACGCTCTAGAGAAAACACAAGGAAATTAAAAACTCTCACAGTGAAACGAAAACGAAGTATGACGTCATATAGTAGAAAATAATCTCAAGCCGGAGAGTGCACAGAGTAGTATGACGTCATTGATTCTCGAGTAAACATTGAATACAAAGGCAATTTGGTCTAATCTAAGTGGTTTGCGTGAAGAGTTTCTTTCATACAATTCTTCGGGTAGGGGCGAAGCCACACCCCCGCGTAAGAACGTCTAAGCCCCCCCCCTCCCCAACTCAAAAGAAATGTCCTCATCGATACTCTATAATAAAATTACCGCCTAATTAATGTGTCTAATCTAAAAAGTGGTTTTCTTGCAATTTCTTTAATGCAATTCTTCGCGTAGTGGCTAAGCGCGACACCAGTGTTTCTTTCAGACTTTTTCCTCCCCGGAGAGGGGTGGGGGTACTTGAAATTTTCGGGGGCGGGGGTAGAATTTTCGGGGAGGGGGCGGACACTGGAAAAAGTATATAATTATATTTCGTTGAATGGGATGGTAGACATGTTTTGGGGGGGGGGGGGTGTGGTGTGGTGTGTGTGTGGGGGGGGGGGGGGTTAGTTTAGAGAAAAGAGACAGCCTAGCGCCCGTTGTATCCTTCCTCAACGGGCCATTTTTCTCGTTTATTTATATTTATATTATTTTATTTGGAAAATCCTTCATTTTCTACTTTTTAGTGCATTATATACAATAAAGTTTATTATTTTTAAAAAAATATTTTCTCGTTTACCCTGTTTACAGAAAGTATTGAAATCTTGCACAAGAATTAAATGACAATTTGAGTTTTTCGCCGTTTTACACCTCACCACTGTTTTTTTATCCCCCCCCCCCCCCCCCCCCCCCCCATTGATGAGCGTTTTCTATTGATTAGCTGCTGGTGTTAAATTTGCATATCAGGTAAACTTAATGTCCTAGAGAAATTACGTAAAATTAAATGACCACACTCAGCACTATGTTAATTAGAATTATCGTAAGCGTTTATTAAACCCTCTTGGGTATACCATCATTTCTATGCACATCTGTTTGTCAATGTAGGAGCAACTTAATTCCTATTGGCCATTGGATACGTCACAATAAAAAAAAAGTTTAATTTTTGCCATTAATTAAATGCGCATGTTCATTGATGCGAGCGCCTAAATCACTATAAATACAGCTTGCCGCAACACTAGAAGATATCAACACAAGTTACGAATCATTCAACTTTCCTATCAAGTTTGGTAAGAAGTTTTTCGACAAAACTATGCATGGTACATGCGTGTTAAAATGTTGCTGTTGTATAGATGAAAGCTGCCTAGTATACGAATCATGTGTACTTGTGTAGACCTGTGTATAAAGCAATCTGCAAATTTTGTGTATATACCGCTTGTGTACATGTTATTTTGTATATTGAGGTCTACATGTAAATTGTATATATTTGATGTACATGTTGGTTGACATTTTATGTACTTGTGTTGTACATGTTTAGTATTATACATTTGGTGCACATGTCTCTTGCCGTATATTATGTGTACATGTAGCATTATGTACATTTGGTGTACATGAGTTGAGTACAGTTAGTTTACATGTTATGTACTATACATGTTATGTATATATAGAATGATGTATATTTGGTGTACATGTGACGTACTTTGCATTTGGTGTACATATATGTTTTATTGTAACGTTGTGTACATTTGGTGTACGTGTGGAGTTCGATGCTTTAGGTGTTTATCCGAAGTAATGCACATTTGGTGTGTAGTAAAATTATGTACATTTTTATGAACATTTTACGTACTGTACATTTGGTGAACATGTGGTTTGGTACATATATATATATATATATATATATATATATATATATATATATATATATATATATATATATATATATATATATATATATATATATATATATATATATATATATATATATATATATATATATATATATATATATTCTTCTAGTTCCTAGATCTGAACGCTGAAGATGAAACTGGTACTTGTTTTTGCTCTCGTCCTGCTTACGGCGTCAACTGCTGCTGCTGTAGGCATGTGTGAGTGGGATGGCGTTAAGTTTCCGGTAAGTTGGTAGGAAGTATTTGAGGCAATATCCATTTACGCAGAAAGTGTCTGAGTCACGTGGTGTCACCTGGTGCGGTAATTTTTAATTTTTTTCGTCGTACTGCCACTTCCCTGAATGGTGACCCCCAATACCGCCCGCATATCTACCTTCGCCACTGGCATTCTTTAACAGACTGAACCGAGCGACGTGAAAAAGTAACAGGAATCTGGGTTTTCCCAGAACAGACGGGCACAATTTCTGACAGCTTATGTTTTATGGGACGGAGTAGTCTAGCGGTAGAGAGCTGGACTGCTAACCCGTAAGTCTCGAGTTCGAATCCAGGTTTAAGTCAGTAGACCGTCCCTGAGTCAACCCAACTCTGATGGGTACCTAACTCACGTTAGGGAAAGTACAGGCGGCTGGGCATAGTGCTGGCCACACTATCTCTTCATATGCCGAGGTCACAGAACCTAGTGAACTCTACTTCACTTGCCCCATAAACCGTCAGGTTTGAAAGGGAAACTTTACTTTTACTTTATGTTTTATAGTCTTGGCAATTTAGGTCCAACTTAATTTCCGCCGGAAAAAAAGAATGACGAGCGAATATTTTTGCTATTATCGGAAATTACATCATATTTTATTTATTTCAGGTCGGGAGTATCTACAGGTCAAAGATAGACCCTTGCACGGTCTGCGATTGTGACGAGTCGTTACAAGCGAATTGCATGGATGAGTACTGTGAGGTGCCCGAGTGTGCTACCGGGTCCCATGTCGTGTTCCCTAAGGACCAATGCTGCGCCATCTGCGTGAAGGTCAGTTAAGCTCAGTTAGACCTCACTCATACACCAGCTGCTCTCACTACTGTCAGAGCTGCCCCACCTGCTCTCAGGGCTACCCCTCCTGCTCTCGTTATGCCCTCACTGCTCTCAGAGCTGATTAACCTGTTCCCATTATGCCCTCACTGCTGCCCCAATGAGATAAATTGTTAAATGTACAACTTTTCTGTAAACGTTTTAACGTATACATCCAATGTCATGTAATTTTTTTATTGATCTTACCTTGTGAGTTGGAAAAACATTTTAATTTATTTCAGAACTGATGACGATGTAGACGATGGAGATAATGATGAATGAGTAGTCAGTGACAGATTACAATAAAGATTTAAAATTAAACAATTGAATTTTATTTTTTATGTTTGCTTGTTTATTGGTTCGTTATGTAAGCAAATTCATGTCGTACACGGGGTCTACCGGTGGTAGTGTCATTTATATTTTGCGTTATTGTTTGCGTTTAGGTTTGCGTTTTTGTTTGAGTTTGTTTCAGTGTTAGTGTTTGTGTTTTTGTTTTTGTTTGTGTTTGTGTTTACTTTTCTGTTTTCGTTTATGTTGGTGTTTGCGTTTGTGTTTTAGTTTTTGTTTGCGTTTGCGTTTGCTTAAGTATTTGTGTTTGTGTTTGTTTTTGTTTTCGGGTTTGTGTTATTGTTTGTATTTATGTTTGCGTTTTTATTTAAGTTGTGGTTGGTTTTGGGTAGGGTTAATTTGAGAGGTAATATATTTCCTAAAGCCGGGCAATGCAGGGTATATGCTGCTTAATAAACACACAAGTCATGGTCCTTTAAAGATAGGTTTTTCTTAGAGGTCAGTGAAGGCCTGGCCGGGACGGCTAGTATATATACAAATGCATTTGGCAACAATTTTCAAATCCTCCATTCGGTCCCCACCCCCTGCATAAGCCGGTACATCACACTTAGGAGCAGAGGGGTCGCCATGTCGGATGTCACCAGGTGATGCACTTCATGGTGTCACCCCCTCCCCCAAGAAACAGACTATATATATATATATATATATATATATATATATATATATATATATATATATATATATATATATATATATATATATATATATATATATATATATATATATATATATATACATATATATATATATATATATATATATCTTTGTTTATGTGTGTGCATTTTTCGGCCTACATAGTCCTATAACTTAAATATATGTCAGATAAATGTACATGAATGTACATAAGCTTTAATCACTGCAGACGTAATAGTAACGATGTTGTTTATCTATAGTCTGTTAATAACACATTTGGTAGTAGCATTCTTTTCTCTATGGTTAAAACGTTTACGTTCTGGTGTCACCCCAACCGCCTTATTATAATTGTTGATTTCTACTTAAAAGACTATTTAACTTTAATTTAATCATTAATGGAACTGGCAAAAGAATTTCTTCTGTGCATTTTTGCAATTTTTTGCCTTGGTGTCGCCCCCCCCCCCCCCCTTAAATGGTGTCACCTGGTGCGGTCCGCACCCCGGCCTCGTCCTCGCTACGCCTCTGCTTAGGAGGACGGGTCGAACAGTCAAAATGTCAGTGTGTTAACGTGTAACGTGCACCCTATTTGGCTATCAAAGGGGAGCAACGAGTTACAGATACATTACAAAGTTTGTCAATCTTTAAGACTACAGTTCGTGTAGTGGTATAGTGAATGTAAAAAAAAAGATAAATCGTACAAATCTCATATTTATTAAATTTCTACGTCATAGAATATACACCGACCAACACCAGATGTAATTCTTTACATTTAGACGAAACTAATTAACCAACAAAATTAAATGACCAACTAAACCAAACGATAAACAGAATAGGGGCTCATTAGTTTCTCCCTCTTATTGTTGTGGTGACTAAGTGGAAACCTCTATTCATCCCAGAGGCGGAAACCAATTGTTGTCGCTGAGCTAATTTAAAGAAGAAAAGATAATATTATTAGAATGATTGCGATATAGACAACGTACAAAGGTGTTGGCTGTTTCACTACTTATCAGGTCGTAAACTTGATAATTTGATGAAGATAAATAAATAAATAAATATATATATATATATATATATATATATATATATATATATATATATATATATATATATATATATATATATATATATATATATTTATGTGTGTGTGTGTGTGTTTGACGCCCCTAAACAAGACTACAATCTGTTACTCAAATGAGCACGCTAATTGGTAGAATTTGTTCAAACTATTATAAGTACTTGTTGACTAATAACGCTGCCGCCCTTCTGATTTGGCTGCCTAGTTATTAAAGTTATCGGTAAGTTTTAGTTAGGGTGGAATTTTTAATCAACTCTCACGATTTGGTGAATAAGACTGTTTGATAGACAGGTGAGCTTGATGAACAGGTCAGTTTGATGGACAGGTCAACTTGATGGACAGGTCAGCTTAATGGACAGGTCAATTTTACGGACAGGTCAGCTAGATGGACAGGTCAGCTTAATAGGTCAGCTTGATGGACAGGTTAACTCGATGGGCATGTCAGCAGGTTGTTTTTATTATTGGTAGCCACCAGCTCTCATCCTCTATCTGAAAATTATACCACCTAGCGTGCAATTAAGTGGGTTGAATGTAGGACGATTAAGCAGCTATGTGTCATCCTACTCGAAATGTCAGCCGTGTCTTCTCATGCTATAAATGTTCTGTACCAGATGATTCCAATCGACTAAACACTCAGTATCAAGACTTTATTTTTGTTTTGTATATGAATTTTTTTCTACGTTTTGACATTTCTTTGTTAAATGCTTGAACATTTAATTTTATTATTTTGTCGTTATTTTAAACGTTGTCATTATTTTTGTATTATGTCATTATTTTAGTAATCGAGCATAGGTTGTGTACTTTTGTTGTTAATTGTCTACAGAACTATGTCATGTACGTTGGTACATAGTCATTTTTTTGTTACTTTATTTGTCCGTATGGTTGTTTATAATCTTATGTTTGACTGGGTCATTATGATTGTGCTAGGTTTAACCTAAATCTCCAGGTTTTATAATCTTATGTCTGACTGAGTCATTATGATTGTGCTAGATTTAACTTCCAACACCATACGACGATGATGAAATACGTTCTTGTTCTGGTCTTACTGGCAGCAGCAACTGTCACAGCAGACGACACAACAGCAGACGACACAGCAGCAGATGTTGCAGGTAATGAAGGAACAGATGAATCAGAAGGTACCTGTGAGATCGATGGCGTCACCTATCAGGTACGGGCATTTAAATTCTCGAAAGTGTTTAAGGTTCGAACCATAACCGTTTTCAAAAACAACCATGGTGACATTTAGATGTTTAGATAAATTGGTGATTGGTGTACCAAGTCAGTAATTACAGACAGATATAACAAGGAATGTTGTGTACCACTCCAGTGACCAAACCTAGATCTAACAGTGACCACAGCTAGGTCTATCTATGAACTACACCAGTATAGTGTAAACGGTAATGTGGTTTACCACATCAGGTACAGCTAGATATAGCAAGGAATATAGAGTACTACACCAGTGATCACATCTAGATATAACATTGAATGTAACGTATCAGATCTAGGGACGGAAGAAATGTTAACCTCTTAGGGTGTTTTCTGATGTAAAAATATGCCTGTTATGTAAATGTTTTCTCTAATTTTGTTGTACAATTAAAACTGTGGATTACTTTGGTTACTTCAGTACAATGATGAACTCCCCTCTGATAATCCCTGTGCTATATGTACCTGTCGCGGCCAACCAACACCCAGTTGCTTTAGCATTTACTGCGACTGGCCAGATTGCCCTGAAGGCTACGAGATCTTCTACCCAGAAGACGAGTGCTGCCCTGGATGTCAGGTACTGGTGTTTGTTTACTTACAGCTAACCTTGACCTTGGCCCAAAGATGAATTATGCCCTGAATGTCAGATCCTTGTAGGTTTACTACTTTTGGTTGATAAACCTCACTCACGCAGTATTTCTTTCAGACTTTTATCCAGGGGTAGGGGTACTAGAATCAATAAAATTCTCCGGTGCGGGGGGGGGGGGGGGGGGGAGGGGGGTAGGGGGGGGGCGACACTTGTAAAAGTATATATTTTTATATAAATTATATTTCTTTTTTTTGGGAGGGGAGGGGGAATAGACGTTCTACAGGGGGGTGGGGCTTAGCCCCTACCAGAAGAGATGCATGGAAGAAACTCTTCACGCAAACCACTTTTAAGATTAGACAAAATTGGCTTTTTAATTCAATGTTTACTCGAGAATCAATGACGTCATACTATTCTGTGCACTTTCCCGGCTTGCTACAATTTCCTACTATATGCTCCATGTGACGTCACGTTTCGAATTACTATGCATGTTTTTACTCTGCTTGTGTTTTCTATATATCGTTCTTGACAGATAAATACACAGATACTTAGACAGACAGCGCAACTATTATTTTTCTATATTTGTTTCATTTGGCATCATTCTTTTTGCCAGAGATACCTTTTGTGCTACTTAGATCTTTTCCAGAGCGTTGTTTTCCGGTTGCATAATCAAAGTTGTGTTTTTACATTCGAATATGCCTTTATTTTTTTTTTTACGTCTCTAAATAAAATTTTGTTTATACATTTTATACATCCAACATATTATTTTTAACAAAAGTCCGTATCTTTTAGTTCTCCATATATTGCTAAATTACTGATACCATAGCCTCGGAAAATATGTTGCAGATAGAGAGAGAGAGAGAGAGAGAGAATGAGAGAGGGAAATGCACATATGGGCTGTTATATATTAGGAGGATTGTATCTATCGTGTGTATCTATTTACGTTTTATTTTAACATTGCATTTCTTGTTATTAAAATTTAAAGTCATAATTAATTCTCCTGTTTTTATAGCCCATCCCGTAAAGTGTAGAGAGTGACCCCTTGTCTAACGATGGCCTGAAGAGGATTTTATCATCGGTAAAAAACTAAAACACGAATCACTAATAAAATAGTTAAATCATGGTTTTCTTTGTACAATTTCCTAATTTCTATATACGACTTTATTAATTATCTCGATAATTAAAACTGAGTTGAGTTATTAATGTAGCTGTAAAATCTAATTTGGGAAGTTGTATACGAGTGTCAGATCACACATTGATAACCCGATAATCTAGAGTTCGCATATTCAACCAAGTCCATCCAAATGTACCCAGTTTATGGGTGGTGTCCGTCTTGTTTCATTAGATATAAAACACATAATGACATCATATATTGAGATCAGAAGAAACAGATCTGTTCGGCATTATCTGACATGTAGACGTCAGGTCTGAAGTGGTGTTGTATCGCGAATGAGATAGCTAATCCGCTATGTAAACGTTGTTTGATTTCTATTGAAATAGAAGTCAGTAAAATACAATATGACTTTATAATAATTAGTTGGAGGCTTATGGTTATTTCCTGTGTTGAAATAGCATTTATTAATTCAATAAATATTAGATTTAAAAAGTATACGTTTGTGGTGTTGATCAAACTCTATAAGAAACTCCTTTTGTTGAAGATATGTATTAGAAAATTACACTACCATACCATACAATAGTGAACATGACTCGAGCATATAACAGCCGCTATAACTTCTCGTAATTTTGAAACCATTATTATTGAATCGAATCAGTGGAGTTGCAGGTAGGATGCTATGGATGGGTCCGCCTTGCGGAGGGTTGATTGAAGACACCAGGGTGAGGCTAAATAAGATGTTTACATTTTTAGAAATAAACATCGCTATGAAGAGCTGGGTTAAATAGAAAATAACCTTAATTTATCAAAGAGGTGACGAAAAGATAGACGCAAGCATGACATGACGATACCCTAAGTGGCTGGAAAGTTGAAAAGCAAAACTGACAAGTATTAAGGGGAAATCCTATTAAAATAATTGTAAAATAATTGTATATGAAGCCTGAAGACATGAACTTCTATATCATCCAAGATCTAGATTTTGACTATCTACACTAGAATCTGTTCCCATAAATTTCGACAAGACAAAAGGCCGACAAATTTTATAACACAACAAACTACAATTCCAGGTCCATATATAGGGAAGTCACAGGGGCAAGTTTACACAAGTGCCCTACTAATATCACAATATAAACACTATGATATAAATATGTACAAATCCAAGTGTGCAAAGATAATCTGTACTGTAAAAGTTGAATGTTTTAAACATGGTGCCTCCAGGTGCAGTTTTCGCACCCCCGCCCCATGATGTAACTGTTCGTACCAATAGCCCAGAGAATTTTAACAAGTAATGTTATAAGCTGTTGCTAATGTAGTCAAAGGCATCACAACAAATTGATTTCAGTTTAATAAAAGTTTGGTGACTAGACTGCACTGTAGTAACTTTGCTACAATATGTAAGCTTTTAAATGAGTTAAAATTAAGAAAATAAAACAATTTTCTTAGTATAATTAAAACACTGATCGCTAAAATGAATAAGATATATTATTTTCTCTCCTAAATCTCATATTGAACTTGCTGTTTTTGAATCCTTCATGGTAAACTCAATTAAATGCGCAGAAGAAGAAGAAATATTTATCTTTTTGCCTACATTTTGCGGTTCTAGCTAGAGGAAGATGGAAAACATTAGGAATACTCTCGATCCAAGACTTTGAAGTTAATTTTTTTTTTGCGTAAACATCTAACAACAAGGGATGCCACTCTAAGCAGAGCAGTCGGGAGACGGTTACATTTCGTCAACACAAACTGGTGGTATTGGCAATAAAAAGAATCTAAGTAGCATTATTCTGGCTTTGACGTCTGTGCTTACTGACTCAACACATTCAAGGTAGGTAAACGCTCAATTTTTATTGTCTTTATAACAAATGGGAAATTATACAACTATAACTAAAGTCTAAACCGATTTGTTTCTAACACGTAGATCTAGATCTAGGTCAAGATCCCGATAAATTGCAATGTTAAATATACGTTTACATCGTTTGAAATTCGATCAATTTAAAAACTAACTATACTAGCGTACTTTTACGCATATGGGCGCGCTAGTCTGGGGATTTTGTTAATCTCTCTATTGTCATATTCCCGGGAGGGTCGGTGGGGCACAGTCACCATTGGCCTTCATAATGCCTTGCCATGAGTGGTCCAAGAAAGTTTTTTTCTTGATTGTGCATACGGCAATAGCGGTCAAGTTCCTGATGTCATCCAGCCATCTCTTTCCACGCCTGTCTCAGCGCCAGAGTTTCTTTCAGCCATCTCCTCGCCGCCACCAAAACACGATTACCACCCCCACCCAATCCCCTCACCCCACCATCCCCTCACCCCCACCCAATCCCCACACCCTCACCCAATCCCCTCACTCCCAATCCCCTCCCCCCTCCCAATCCCCTCACCCCCACCCAATCCCCTCAACCCCCCCCCCAATCCCCTCACCCTCACCCAATCCCTTCACCCCTCCCAATCCCCTCACCCCCACCCAATTCCCTCAACCCCCCCCCAATCCCCTCACCCTCACCCAATCCCCTCACCTCCCAATCCCCTCACCCCACCCAATCCCCTCACCCCCACCCAATCCCCTCACTCCCAATCCCCTCACCCCCACCCAATCCCCTCACCCCTACCCAGGACTAAATAGAAAAAGATACGTAATTTATATAAAAATATATACTTTATATACTTTAATCAGTGTCCGAACCCTGCTCCTCCCAGAATTTTAAGTGCGCGCCTCTCCAGGAGAAAAAAAATAGCAGAAAGAAACGCTGATCGCCCCTCCCCGACAACTCACAAAGGCACCTTTATGTAAAAAATAGATTTTAAAAAACGTTATAAAGCAAACATCAATACTTGCAATCAAAAAAAGAAAATACATTGATTTTCTTTATAAAACTAAAATGTATAAAAGCTTGGGTCGCTCATAAAAAATGTATTCCTATTTAGTTCTCCATCTAGTACAGTAGCTCGAAAGTCGAAGTGCTAACTTGTGACCTAGCTAGTTTAAGTTTGAACAGCACACCTAATATAGCGATTAATGAATACTACACATAACACAAACATTAGCGAAGTTATTTAAAAGATTATTTCTGTAAGAAATTTTATATATTTTCGTTCCATCGCAAAAAAAAGCAGTCAAGAAAAACCATATAAGTCAACATTAATTAAGCAGATTTGTATCCCTTTGTAAGATCCTGACTCCAACAAAGATGAAACACATCCTTGGGATGTTTTGTTTGGCCGCTCTGGTAGTGGTGTCCACATCGTATTTCGACCGAGGTTTTTGTGATGGGGATGTCTGTGGGGTAATTGGATTTCTTATTTGTTGATGTTTTGTATATTTTTGTGTACAGAAATACATATAATTAAAATTTCTATCCATGAATAAAAACCTTCTCAAATAAAATAAACTTTAGTACTGGGTTAATGTCTGCTAACTAACCCCGAACACTATTATATTTATATTTTGACTTCACTAATCGATGGGCAGAATTTCTGGAGAGAGAACTAGATCTATTTTTTACCGTTTTTCTATAGCTCCATTCTAGTGCTAGACTTATAGAATGGTTAGATTTGTCTACCATTAACTGCTCGTTAGGCGTTCGCCCAGATAGCTTTTGTCTGGACGATAATAAAGATTTTCCGACATCGATGATTGCCCTAAAAGTACTCCAATAAGTATTAGCACAAATATTTTAAAATTATAAATTAATTCTGACCCGTTAAAATTGTTACATAATGGTTGCTAAATTTTAATTGGTAAACTTGGGGAAATATCTCTAAGTTCGGTATAGGCCTTGTCATTTTACATTAAATAAAGGAGATTTCATGTACGCTCTGAAAAAAAAAAGCGTCATTTGTTACTGACTTAGAACCGCTTATTTAGCCGATACTGCAAGGTGATTTTTTCGGAAAGCATAGAGATCGTTTATACATTGTGTTTAACCGATTAGTTAATAATGTAACTGATTTTTAGGTACAATAAGATATAAAATGTTTTATAACGATTGATAGTTATTCTTGGGTATGATTATTACTCTTTATGGAAACTTTTGTTTATTTTATTCTTCAATTACGTTTTTTGTCTTTGTGCTTAGTGCTTAAAGTCTATCGCAACAAACACATCAAACCTATTATGTCTTCAATTATTAGCTCGCTCTAAAATGCCCTTAATAAATTATCTCTTTCCTAATTGACGGTTAGTCCCGTTATTTTGAACTACATATATGTTTCTCCAGCATCAGAATGACTAACTGTATTTTGTGACACTTAGACACTAGATGAACCCCCTGAACCCGAACCCTGTGACTGTGAGGAGGAAGAACACGTCATTTGCGCAAATGAGGAGTGCGACACTTCGACAGAATGTGCCCCTGGTTTGGTATTGGTAAATGACCCTGACAAGTGCTGCCCTCGTTGCGAGGTATTACGCTCAAAATCTTAAAATAGTTTTTGACTTAATTAAAAAAGAACAATTAGGTTAAAAACTAAAGAATACGCTTACTGTAGCGGCTGCGTCTGTGTAGTTAGATGACAACGTATCTAGGGCACATATTGTACGGAACAACACTCAGACACAACACCAACAACAATTACAAACAACTCACCAACAATCTGACAGAACACAACCAAGAGAAATCTTACTTAACCTACACCATAAATCAGTGGCGTAGCCAGGATCGTCTCAAGGGGGGGGGGGGGGGGGGGTTACAATTTTTACCCGGAGACAAACTTTCGATTTGCACCCCCCTCAGACTTTTGATTTGCACCCCCCCCCATCAAACTTTTGATTTCCACCCCCCCATACTTTATATATATATATACCGAGGGGTCTATAGGGGGGGGTTATGACCCCCCCCTAACCACTCCCCCCCCTGCCTTCGCCACTGCCATAAATATATAAAGAGAAAAAATTAATTTCTCTCCTTTAAACCCTGGATGTAGGAATGGAATGGAAAAGGTTAGAAAATTAAAATCTGTAAATATAAATAGCCTACGTTTGTTTTAAAAGTAAACCGGTAGTGATCTCCCCTAAACTTTCTCAAATATTCCTATATAACATGGGGGATGGCAACTCGGGATATAGACATGATTTTTAAATCTATTTTTAAGTACTTAAACTTTTTAAACTAGAATAGAATCTCGTAGAAAAAAAGAATTGCAAACCAAGTAAACGCCAAACGAAATGTGTATAGTAGAACGGAATATTACTAGTACTTTATATATTCACTTGCGTTTTTTTTTTGAGAAATCGGAAATAACGTAAAAAACAAACTAATTAAAAACAAACGAATTAAAAACAAACGAATTAAAAGCAAGCGAAAAAAAAAAATTGTGATGTCTTGTACAAAGTGTACTTTTTCTTTCTTTAGCCTGAACCTGCTCCGGAGAACTCTGCCAAGAACCCCCTCGTCTGACTTAGCCTTTTGTCTTCCATTAAAAGTACCCACACACCAAACAACATCAACAAATAAAATTGCCTACCACCAGTCCATGTTTGTATATTTTGGTTATTTCACTTTTAAAAGTTGTCACATTTGCCGATTTGTTCCCGTTGCTTTGTAACTTAATACGCTTTTATTTAGTTCACAATGTCTGCTTGTTTGTTTGATTGTGGAATGTCACAAAACTTTAACTTAATATTAGTCTACATATTGTAATGCAACTATTGCGATTTTACTTTCCAGATACATTCGTGTTTGGTGACAATGCAAGAATATCTAACATTAAATTAAAATCTAATTAGTTATAAGATTAGTCATTAAAATTTAACTAATAGTTTACGAATTTCATTAAAAAGGAGCTAAAAATAGTATTTACCATGCTGGCCACACTCCCCTGTATGTTGACCACATTCCCCTGTATGCTGACCACACTCCCCTGTGTGCTGACCACACTCCCCTTGTATGCTGACCGCACTCCCCTTGTATGCTGACCACACTCCCCTTGTATGCTGACCACACTCCCCTTTTATGCTGACCACACTCCCCTGTATGCTGACCACACTCCCCTTGTATGCTGACCACACTCTCCTTGTATGCTGACCACATTCTTCTTGTATGCTGACCACACTCTCCTGTATGCTGACCACACTCCCCTTTTATGCTGACCACACTCTCCTTGTATGCTGACCACATTCTTCTTGTATGCTGACCACACTCTCCTTGTATGCTGACCACATTCCCCTGTATGCTGACCACACTCCCCTGTATGTTGACTACACTCCCCTGTATGCTGACCACACTCCCCTTGTATGCTGACCACACTCCCCTTGTATGCTGACAACACTCCCCTTGTATGCTGACCACACTCCCCTTGTATGCTGACCACACTCTCCTTGTATGCTGACCACATTCTTCTTGTATGCTGACCACACTCTCCTGTATGCTGACCACACTCCCCTGTATGCTGACCACACTATAGCGATGACGGTAGGAAGGACTGACACACTACTTGGCCGCTTATATTATATATATATATATATATATATATATATATATATATATATATATATATATATATATATATATATGTGTGTGTGTGTGTGTGTGTGTTCTGTGTTGGTATGTGCCCACAGCATGCCCATTTTTCCAACATTAATTACACACTACGCCCTTGAACAATGCTACAATCTGTTAATATACTGTTAGTCAAATGACTCGCTAATTGGTTGAGTTTATTCAGACTACTAGTACTACTATAAATACTTATTGACTTATCACCATTGACTAATGACGCTGCTGCCCTTCAGATTTGGTTCTCAGGTTATTCTAGTTATCGGTAAGTTTTTAACTGTACTCTCACGCTTTGGTCTTATCGTCTATCTGAAAGTTATACCACCTAGCGTGCAATTATGTGTGGTGAATGTCAGACAATTAAGCAGCTATGCGGCGTCGTCCTGCTGAAAATGTCAGCCGTGTCTTCTGTTGATATAAATGTTCAGTACCAGATGTCTCCAATCGACTAGATACTCTGATTTTGTTTTATTAGCAGTAAGATTTTTAAGAATTTTTTTGTTTTGTTTTTGTATTTGTATTTTTTTCTCCGTTTTGACATTTCTTTGTTAAATGCTTGACCATTTATTTTAATTACTTTGTCGTTATTTTAACCGTCTTCATTATTTGTATTTTGTCATTATTTTAGTAATAGAGCAAATGTTGTGTACTTTTGCTAATAATTGTGTACAGAACTGTGTCACGTTCATTTGTACGTAGTCATTGTTTTGTTACTGTACTTGTCCGTATCGTTGTTTATAATCTTATGTTTGTGCTATATTTAACTTCCAGAGTCGAAATATCACTTTCTGTTAATATTGCTATTTCAGTTGCAACTCCTGCTTCCAACCCCTCTACAGGTTTAACTTCCAGCACCATTCGACGATGATGAAATACGTTCTAGTTTTGGTCTTGCTGGCAGCAGCAACTGCCACAGCAGACGACACAACAGCAGACGACACAACAGCAGAAGTTGCAGGTGAAGAAGAAATAGAGGTAGCAGAAGGTACCTGTGAGATTGATGGCGTCACCTATCAGGTATTGGAATTTAAATTCTCGAAAGTGTTTTAGGTTCGAACCATAAACGTTGTCAAAAACAACAATGGTGACATTTAGATGTATTGATGGATTGGTGATTGGTGTACGAAGTCAGTGACTACTGACATATATACCAATGAATATTGTTACCACACCAGTGACCATAGCTAGGTATAACCGGAATATGGTGTACCATATTAGTGACAACATCTAGATACATATAGGAATATGGAGTACCATATTAGTGACAACATCTAGATACAGCAAGGAATATGGAGTACCATATTAGTGACAACATCTAGATACATATAGGAATAAGGTGTACCATATTAGTGACAACATCTAGATACATATAGGAATATGGTGTACCATATTAGTGACAACATCTAGATACATACAGGAATATGGAGTACAATATTAGTGAAAACATCTAGATACAGCAAGGAATATGGAGTACCATATTAGTGACAACATCTAGCTACATATAAGAATATGGAGTACCATATTAGTGACAACATCTAGCTACATATAGGCATATGGTGTACCATATTAGTGACAACATCTAGATACAGCAAGGAATATGGAGTACCATATTAGTGACAACATCTAGCTACATATAGGAATATGGAGTACCATATTAGTGACAACATCTAGCTACATATAGGAATATGGTGTACCATATTAGTGACAACATCTAGATACAGCAAGGAATATGGAGTACCATATTAGTGACAACATCTAGATACATATAGGAATATGGTGTACCATATTAGTGACAACATCTAGATACAGCAAGGAATATGGTGTACCACACAAGTGATCACAGCTAGATATAACATCGAATGTAACGTATCAGATGTAGGGACGGTAGAAATGTTAACCTTTTTGGGTATTTTCTCATGTAAAAATATTCCTATGTGAATGTTTTCTGTGATGTCGTTGTACAATTAAAACTGTAGATTGCTTTGGTCACTTTAGTTCAACGATGAACTCCCATCTGATGACCCATGTACTCAATGTTACTGTCACGGCCAGCCAACACCCTTGTGCACGAGGGTATACTGCGACTGGCCAGACTGCCCTGAAGGCTACGAGATCTTCTACCCAAAAGACGAGTGCTGCCCTGGATGTCAGGTAATGGTATATGTTTACTTACAGCTAACCTCGGCCTTGACTCAAAGATTAATTATGCTCTAAATGGCAGGTACTTGTAGGTAAGATTGGTTACAGCTTACATTGACCTAGACCTTGATCCAATAAAGTCCGAGGTGTGCGGGGCAGACCCTGATCGATACGTATCCTCTTCAGTGAGGGGAGATTCAAAAATTGGTTTTGATGACTGTCAAAATATACTTTCGTTATGAAAAGATTATATAATAATGTTTTATCTTGCTTGGAAATTTTGATTGCCAGCAATTAGGAGTGAATTATTAATTAGACACATTTAATACTTACACTGAATAAATCACTTCAACGATTCATTTAAAAACCCTGCTATTGAATGGGTTTTTTTTTTGTTTTTCGTTTTTACTTTCTCGTATACGAATTATAGAGAAAGTATTGTATCGTGAAAAAAAATCCAGATTTTTATAAATCTCGACGAGAAAAACATAGTTTTGCAGCTTTGTTGCTATGTCTGTGTGTGTGTAAACACGGTAACTTGGGTAACGTTACAGCTAGGTTGATGAAATTATAAATATAAGTATTATATCAAATTTGTAGCTCTGTATCAACTTTTCAGCGATTTCCCGTAACCGAAAGTGGAATTTATTCTATTTTCAATTTTTCAAAACCTATAACTTGATTACTGTTTCAGATAGAAGAACGAAATTTTACATATAAGAAAAAAATATTTAATTTTCTGCCGTCTTATAAATTTTGAGTAATTTCCGTTGAACGAAAGTAGTAATTTACGCTCTTCCGATTTCTCAAAAAACGCATGTGAATTTATAAAGTACTAATAATATTCCGCAACATTATACACATTTTGTTTGGCGTTCACTTGGTGCGCAATTCGTTTTTTCTACTAGATTCTATTCTTTTTTAAAAAGTAATTAAAAATCATGTCTATATCCCGAGTTGCCACCCCCGTAGTGTTATATAAGAATATTCGAGAAAGTTTAGGGGAGGTAAACCCGGCTTATTTTAATTTTATTATTTTCGGCCCATAAAATATTTGTATACATTTCAAAGCATACGTCTTGATAAGTTTATCTTTAGATCTAAATCTAAACTTGGAAGATGACGGCATTAAGCACTGTGTAATGTTTTCGACATTGGAAATTAATGCTATTTTCTATTCTACATTCTACAATCAATGACGCCATTAGTATTGTGTACTTTTCGTAGTTTATACTTTTTACTAGCCGTCCCGGCCAGGCCCTGCTCTGGTTTCCGTGAAAAACCTTTCTGTTAAAGACCATTACCTGTGTGTTTAGTAATCATCATAAACCCGGCATTGCCCACCCAAACCACAACCAACCAAAACAACAAAACGCAAACATAACGCTAACACAATTACAAATACAAACAAAAACAAAAACCTAACAACAAACCCAACCACAACCACAAACACCAATACAAACACAAAGAAAAAACAAACAAAAAAGCAAACGAAAACAAAAACCTAACAACAAACCCAACCACAAACACCAATACCAACAAAAAAAAACAACGAAAAAGCAAACGAAAACAAACCAAATCCAAACGCAAAACCAACCAAAAACACAAATACAAACCCAAACAAAAAAAACACAAACAAAAACGAAAAAAGAAAGAACAAAACCGAACCAAATCAAAACGCAACCACTAACGCAAACCCACCTAAACACAAAGAAAACACTAACGCGAACATAAACGCCCGGGGCGGAATCACCTGTTTTAGCTTAATGAACGACTATAGTACCCCAACTTATTCATAGTCTTTTGCACTCACTTAAACGAACGCGCCTGTTTCAATTTGATGAACAATTTTAATACTCCAAGCTTATCCGTAAAATACCTACAACATTTGCACTTGATCAATCCCCGCTAATTATGTAATTATTTTTTTTTCCCAACACCAAAACAAAGTAATTAAAAAGTAAATTATTTTCGACTAATGCAATGGTTTTATAAAGGGAAGTAATTTTGTTTTCCTAATTTATCAAAGGGAAGTAAGTGCTATAGGACTAAATAAAGACATAATTAGAATTTTTGTAAAAGATGATATTTTTTTAAAACTTGTGTTTAATGAACATGCCGACAATTATTACTATAATTTGAAAAATGAAAATTATTTCCCAACACTTTCAATAGTAATTTTTTAGCTCATAAATTTAGACAAATGCGCACGATAATTTTCTAACACTTAAATTCATACAATTCCAACGACAAACATATGCATTACATACAGAACTGAGCTTTATATATTAGATTAACATTGTTTTATTATGATAGTTTTCTATTTGTTTTATGTTACGTCTTTTTTTTTTTGCCAGAGATAGCCTTTGTGCTACTTAGATGTTCTCCAGAGCGTCGTTACAACAAGAAACATTTTTCCGGTTGCATAATCAAAGATGTGTTTTTACCTTCTATTTTCCGTCTCTAAATGAAATTTAGTTTATAATTTTAATGCATCAAACATATTAGTTTTAACAAAATTCAGTATCTTTGAGTTCTCCATATATTGCTAAGAATACTGATCTCATAGCCTCGGAAAATATGTAGCAAACAGAGAGAGAAAGAGAGAGAGAGAGAGAAAAGTGCACACATGGACTGTTATATACTAGGAGGATTTTTATCTATCGTTTCTATCCATTTATGTTTTATTTTAACATTGAATATCTTGTTATAAAGTCACAATTAGTTCTCCTTCTTTTTTCATAGCCCATCCCGTAAAGAGGGACACCTTGTCTGACGATGGCCTGAAGGTGATTTTATCATCGATAAAAAACTGAAACATGAATCATAAATAAAAATATTTAAATCATCGTTTTCTTTGTACAATTTTCCTAATTTCTGTGTACGACTTTATTAATTACCTCGATAATTAAAATAGCTTTAAAATCTCATTTATGAAGTAGTATACGAGTGGCAGATCATACATGTTAACCCGATGATCTAGAGTTCGGATCTTTAGCCAAGTTATGTGTAAGATATACCAGGTGTATAAAGGAGGTGACGAAATGTTCGATACAAGCATGATATAACACAACTTTATATTGCTGGAAAGATTTAAAGGAAAACTGAAAAATGCTAACACCCACACTCAGTATTTATGTCAGCATAATATCATAGACAGGTAGCAAGGCCACAATACAAGTTTGGTGGACTATGAAATGATTTCCAACAGCTTTAACAATTGTAAAAAAATTGTAACCCTTATAGAATAGAGTTATCTATGCATTTAATGTAGGCGTCGTTTTGTTATTCAATGCTGAAGGGACCAGCAACAGGTGTAAAATGTGCATTTCTCATAAATGTAATTTCCAGCAGATATTAAGCTCACCATCCCCCACTATCAGGGTAAGCTGTTTGCTTGTCCATCCCCCACTATCAGGGTAAGCTGTTTGCTTGTCCATCCCCCACTATCAGGGTAAGCTGTTTGCTGTCCATCCCCCACTATCAGGGTAAGCTGTTTGCTTGTCCATCCCCCACTATCAGGGTAAGCTGTTTGCTGTCCATCTCCTACCGATTGGTAGACTTATTGCTGTACGTTTTATTCCATCGAGGGAGGTTGTTTGCTGTTCTGCTCCTCAAACGATGTATAATTAGGCGGGACGAGGGAAGATTAGCTGGTGAAATCAACAACAAGATTAGGAATACATTTTGTAATCTACGAGCCGACCCGCAGCGTATCAAATGCCGCTATTTAGTTGTTTTATTTTCTACTTTTCAGTAATTCATAATTTGTGAATTCGACAGTACCAATGCTGCCACTGAAAATATTTGCTTTAAAACACTAACCCCCCCCCCCCCCAACCCCTACCCTACACCCCCCCCCCCCCCCGTGAATAGCAGCCTCCTCTTAGTTACCTCCTGTAAGTTTAAAATCGTTTCAAACTAAATTATCTGCCCATAATAGCCGTTAACAAACCCGGTTCTACGATTTGTAAACATTTAGAGTGAACACCGCTCACCAGATCATGTGGGGGTGGGGTGGGGGTGGTAGTGATAGTGATAGAGAGGAAGAGAGGGGACTGCAAAGGCGCGCTTGCAGCTTGTTTTCTAACGGCTCTCAGAAGAGAATTATATATACGAGCCGACCCGCAGCGTATCATACGCCGCTATTTAGTTGTTTTATTTTCTACTTTTCAGTAATTCATAATTTTTTAATTCGACAGTACCAATGCTGCCACTGAAAATATTTGCTTTAAAACACTAACCCCCCCCCATTTCCCCTAACCCCGACCCTACACCCCCCCCCCCCCCCGTGAAAGCAGCCTCCTCTTAGTTATTTCTTAGTTACCCCCTGTAAGTTTAAAATCGAACTAAATTATCTGCCCCTAATAGAAACCCGGCTGTACGGCTCTACGATTTGTAAACATTTAGCTTTGTAAAAATTTAGAGTGAACACCGCTCACCAGACAGTGTTGGGGTGGGGTGGGGGCTGGTAGTGATAGTGATAGAGAGAAAGAGAGGGGACTGCAAGGAGGCGCTTGCAGCTTGTTTTCTAACTGATCCCAGAAGAGAATTATATATATAGATAGATGAAACTATACAATCATACGAGCTTCTCTTTTCTAACACATCGGCTTTGTCAGAATCAGGGTAACATCTGGGATGAGTCAGGGTTGCTAGTTGTCCGGACTGTAAGATATGGGTCAGGGTTGATAGCGTTGGATTCCACTGGTTGAGTCAGGGTTGCTAGTTGTCCGGACTGTAAGATATGGGTCAGGGTTGATAGCGTTGGATTCCACTGGTTGAGTCAGGGTTGCTAGTTGTCCGGACTGTAAGATATGGGTCAGGGTTGATAGCGTTGGATTCCACTGGTTGAGTCAGGGTTGCTAGTTGGCCGGACTGTAAGATATGGGTCAGGGTTGATAGTGTTGGATTGCGCTGGTTGAGTCAGGGTTGCTAGTTGGCCGGAATATACATGGTTGGGTCAGGGTTGCTACTGAGTTGGACTGTAATAGATGGGTCAAGGTTGCTGGTCAGTTGGACTGTACAGGGTTGCTAGTCAGAATAATTTTGTAAAGGGTTGCGTCAGGGTTGCTAGCTAGTTTGACTGTACATGGTTGGGTCAGGGTTGCTAGTGAGAATGATTGTACATGGTTGGGTCAGGGTTGCTAGTGAGAATGATTGTACAAGGTTGGGTCGGGGTTGCTAGAGAGTTGGACTGAACAAGGTTGGACCAGGGGTGTTAATGAATTGGACTGTTTGGGTTTGGGTTTTTTTAGTGAGCAGCTGTACTGTTTATGGTTAGATCATTATACAAAGCCGAACATAATGCGTATTTTATATTTACATTTTTAAAAAATTTCTTGCATTTTTGACTTGATGATTGTTTTGTAAAAAGATTACCGTAGCTGCGGTTAAATTATCTTTATTCTATAGACACCATCCCACGCTCTTGTATATTCTTTTTTCCCTTTGTTTTTAAACCACTGTGAAAGCCGAGTCCTCTTTCTCCTACAATCAAACTTATCAAAGATAAGCAAAAGTTCAAACCACTTCCATGACTTATTTCCCTTTTTTAAATTGTCAAACAGGGGTGCTCATAAGCTCATTTTAATAGATTAATATTTTTTTTATAAAGTAGGCCTACTTACTTAAGAATGACATTGTATAAAAAGAAAATGTATTTAAAATAAATAATATAAATTTAAAAAAAAACATAAAAATAAACATAACACGAGACACCATTACTTATACAAAGCTTTCATGTTTTATATTCTTTTTACCGACGAGAAGTTAAAAGGTCTTATAGCAGAGATAAAATAAAACAGATTTTCAAAACAGACTAATGCACTCACACACTTGACAAGTTGTAATTTTGTTTGAATTATTAATCCCAAATTCATTTCAGCTCTACTTTAAAAAAAAAAAAAAAAAAAAATTCCCCCTCTCCCCCCCCCCCCCCCTCGTCCCCTCAGCCCACCACGCCGAGAAAAAAAAAATCCCTTGAATCATCATTTAATTACACATTTGCATTTTCAGTTTCAGGTTGGTTTTTAATTTTTATTTTTTCTTTATACTTAGACGTTTTGTATTAGATATATGTATAAGTAAACCATCTTAAATGAATGAAAGCAGGCTACAAGTAAGAAAGAAATATTACTATTGTAAATCTGTATCAGTCCTCACAAGCCGATGATGAAAACTGTAATACTAAATCGAACACACAACTGACGCTATAAATTACGTGTCTGAGGCAAAAAAAAAAAAAAAGTAATTTGTTTGAATTGAAAAAATAAAAAATTGTTTTTCAAACCCCGAACAGGCCAGCAATGGGTATCCCATGTTCCTATTTTGTGTTTATATATAGGCTATATATATATATATATATATATATATATATATATATATATATATATATATATATATATATATATATATATATATATAGGGTTGGGCCTACACATTTTATTTGCGGGGTGGCCCTTTTTTTCTAGTTCCGCCACTGTCTACAGGTCGATGAAAGACCCTTGCACTGTCCGTGACTGTGACGAGTCGTGACAATCGAACTGCATGGATGAGTACTGTGAGGTGCCCGTGTGTGCTGCCGGCTCGCATGTGGTGTTCCCTAAGGACCAGTGCTGCGCCATCTGCGTTAAGGTCAATTAGCCCTCAATCCTACGCACCTGCTCTCATTCCCACACTGCTCTAAGTGCTGTCCCACCTGCTCTCAGAGCTATTCCATTTTTTCTCAGTGGCCCCAGATGTTGTCAGAGCTGCTCTCATAGCTACCACTCCTGCTCTCATTGCTGCCCCATTGAGATAAATTGTAACTTATTACTACTTTTCTGGGAGCGTTTAAACTTTTACATTCAATGTTAATTTATTTCTTTTTATTGTTCTTACTTTTTGAGTTCAAGAAACTTTTCATTTTATTTTAGAACTGATGACGATGTAGGTTACACGATGAAGAAGATGATGAAGGTCAGTAACCCATTAAAATAAAGATTTTAAAATGAAACAATTGAAATGTATGTCGTGTAAACTTATCAGCGTATGACTATTGGATTCAAATATTAGTATGTGTGGTTTTGCTTGTTTATTGATTACGAGACAAATGGCCCATTGAGGGAGAGATACAACGGGCGCTAGGTTGATAGTGTTGTTTTTTTCTCTAAGTCGAAACCAAAAACAAAATTACCACCTCAACTACAAATTTAACCGGAAACGCAAAATGTAATTGAAAATGGATTTCTGACCAGAATCTGCAGTTTAACCGGAATTAAGCTTGATCTTCGCGTAGTTAGGGTCCCATGACAATTGACCTCAGGATAAATTATCTCAGACAAAATATCTCAGACAAAATATCTCGCGGACAAAAATTATCAGGACAAAATATATCAGGACAAATACTATCATGGACAAATGATCTCAGACAAAATATCTCACAACAGAATTTTGATAGTATGCAGAATGATTTTAGATGATTTGAACTTTTTTTTATTGACTGTCAATATGGTTTTGTTTATTTTTTACGCATCATAATTGTAAATTAAATGAATTTGTTAAACTTAACCAAACCATCAAAAGATTTATTAAACTTAATTTTTGTAATAGCATTTGATTTGAAAAAGTAAAAATTAAAACAAACTTACTCCTTTAGCCTGAAAGGTATGATAAATGATAATGTAATAAGCAAAGTAACGGTAGCTATACAAAATTAATGTTCAAAACACGCGAAATATTTTTTAATAAACCGGGAGTGATCTCCCCTAAACTTTCTTGAACATTCTTATATAAAACAACAGGGGATGGGAACTCGGGCTATAGACATGATTTTTAATCCATTTTAAATACTTAAAATTTTAAAAATAGAATAAAATCTGGTAGACAAAAGAATTGCACACCAAGTGAACGCCAAATAAATAAGTGCATAATAGTGCGCAATATTATTAGTACTTTAAAAATTTGCATTAGTTTTTTTGAGAAATCGAAAGTAGCGTAAATTACTACTTCCGGTCAGCGGAAATTACTCAAAATTTAACAGAAGGTAGAGAATTAGGTCTTTTACTTACATGTGAAATTTCATTTATCTATCTGAAATAGTACTCAAGTTATAGGCTTTTGAAAAATTCAAAGTAGAAAAAGTACCACTTCCGGTTATCAGAAATCGCTCAAAAGTTGATACGGATCTACGATTATGATAAAATACTTATATATGAAATTTCATTAACCTAGATGTAACGGTACTCAAGTAATCGTGTTTACACACGGACAGACAGACAGACACACACACACACACACACACACACACACACACACACACACACACACACACACACACACACAGACATACGGACAAGATTGCAAAATTATGTTTTTCCGTATCAGTGAGGTCTAAAATGTCGAGATTTGTAAAAATCTCGATTTTTTTTTTGCACGATTACAATACTTTCTCTATACTTCGTATATACGAGAAAGTAAAAATGTGAATGGGTATTCTGGTTCGTAACGAACTACCATTGTTTTTATTGCATCATCAAAACTATTAAAATTTAGGTGTGAGATATTTTGTCTGATATATTTTGTATGAGATCAATTGTCCATGGTATCATTTGTCCTGACATATTTTGTCCTGGTATCTTTTTTCCGTGAGATCATTTGTCCTTGAGATATTTTGTCTAAGATCAATTGTCCTGTGACCATGTTGGCCACACTCCCCGTGTATGCTAGCCACACTCCCCTGTATGCTGACCACACTCCCCGTGTATGCTAGCCACACTCCCCTGTATGCTGACCACACTTCCCGTGTATGCTGGCCACACTCCCCGTGTATGCTGGCCACACTCCCCGTGTATGCTAGCCACACTCCCCGTGTATGCTAGCCACACTCCCCGTGTATGCTGGCCACACTCCCCTGTATGCTGACCACACTCCCCGTGTATGCTGGCCACACTCCCCGTGTATGCTAGCCACACTCCCCGTGTATGCTAGCCACACTCCCCGTGTATGCTAGCCACACTACTCTGTATGCTAGCCACACTCCCCGTGTATGCTAGCCACACTACTCTGTATGCTAGCCACACTCCCCGTGTATGCTAGCCACACTCCCCGTGTATGCTAGCCACACTCCCCGTGTATGCTAGCCACACTCCCCGTGTATGCTGGCCACACTCCCCGTGTATGCTAGCCACACTACTCTGTATGCTAGCCACACTCCCCGCGTATGCTAGCCACACTACTCTGTATGCTAGCCACACTACTCTGTATGCTAGCCACACTACTCTGTATGCTAGCCACACTCCCCGTGTATGCTAGCCACACTACTCTGTATGCTAGCCACACTACATCTGTATGCTAGCCACACTACTCTGTATGCTAGCCACACTCCCCGTGTATGCTAGCCACACTACTCTGTATGCTAGCCACACTACTCGATATGCTAGCCACACTCCCCGCGTATGCTAGCCACACTCCCCGTGTATGCTGGCCACACTCCCCGTGTATGCTAGCCACACTACTCTGTATGCTAGCCACACTCCCCGCGTATGCTAGCCACACTACTCTGTATGCTAGCCACACTACTCTGTATGCTAGCCACACTACTCTGTATGCTAGCCACACTCCCCGTGTATGCTAGCCACACTACTCTGTATGCTAGCCACACTCCCCGTGTATGCTAGCCACACTACTCTGTATGCTAGCCACACTACATCTGTATGCTAGCCACACTACTCTGTATGCTAGCCACACTCCCCGTGTATGCTAGCCACACTACTCTGTATGCTAGCCACACTCCCCGTGTATGCTGGCCACACTCCCCGTGTATGCTAGCCACACTACTCTGTATGCTAGCCACACTACTCGATATGCTAGCCACACTCCCCGCGTATGCTAGCCACACTACTCTGTATGCTAGCCACACTACTCTGTATGCTAGCCACACTACTCTGTATGCTAGCCACACTACTCTGTATGCTAGCCACACTACTCTGTATGCTAGCCACACTCGCCGTGTATGCTAGCCACACTACTCTGTATGCTAGCCACACTACATCTGTATGCTAGCCACACTACTCTGTATGCTAGCCACACTCCCCTTGTATGCTAGCCACACTACTCTGTATGCTAGCCACACTCCCCGTGTATGCTAGCCACACTACTCTGTATGCTAGCCACACTCCCCGCGTATGCTAGCCACACTACTCTGTATGCTAGCCACACTACATCTGTATGCTAGCCACACTACTCTGTATGCTAGCCACACTCCCCGTGTATGCTAGCCACACTACTCTGTATGCTAGCCACACTCCCCGTGTATGCTAGCCACACTACTCTGTATGCTAGCCACACTACATCTGTATGCTAGCCACACTACTCTGTATGCTAGCCACACTCCCCGTGTATGCTAGCCACACTACTCTGTATGCTAGCCACACTCCCCGTGTATGTTAGCCACACTACTCTGTATGCTAGCCACACTCCCCGTGTATGCTAGCCACACTACTCTGTATGCTAGCCACACTACATCTGTATGCTAGCCACACTACTCTGTATGCTAGCCACACTCCCCGTGTATGCTAGCCACACTACTCTGTATGCTAGCCACACTCCCCGTGTATGCTAGCCACACTACTCTGTATGCTAGCCACACTCCCCGTGTATGCTAGCCACACTACTCTGTATGCTAGCCACACTCCCCGTGTATGCTAGCCACACTACTCTGTATGCTAGCCACACTCCCCGTGTATGCTAGCCACACTACTCTGTATGCTAGCCACACTACATCTGTATGCTAGCCACACTACTCTGTATGCTAGCCACACTCCCCGTGTATGCTAGCCACACTACATCTGTATGCTAGCCACACTACTCTGTATGCTAGCCACACTCCCCGTGTATGCTAGCCACACTACTCTGTATGCTAGCCACACTACATCTGTATGCTAGCCACACTACTCTGTATGCTGACCACACTCCCCGTGTATGCTGGCCACACTCCCCTGTATGCTGACCACACTCCCCTGTATGCTGACCACACTCCCCGTGTATGCTGGCCACACTACTCTGTATGCTAGCCACACTCCCCTGTATGCTAGCCACACTCCCCGTGTATGCTAGCCACACTACTCTGTATGCTAGCCACACTCCCCGTGTATGCTAGCCACACTACATCTGTATGCTAGCCACACTACTCTGTATGCTAGCCACACTCCCCTGTATGCTAGCCACACTACTCTGTATGCTAGCCACACTCCCCGTGTATGCTAGCCACACTACTCTGTATGCTAGCCACACTCCCCTGTATGCTAGCCACACTCCCCATGTATGCTATCGAACACCCAGCATGACACGCCTCTGGTCTGGTGGCCCGTCTGGAGTCGCGCCCATATGACCTATGTCGCGCCCATATGACCTATGTCGCGCCCATATGACCTATGTCGCGCCCATATGACCTATGTCGCGCCCATATGACCTATGTCGCGCCCATATGACCTATGTCGCGCCCATATGACCTATGTCGCGCCCATATGACCTATGTCGCGCCCATATGACCTATGTCGCGCCCATATGACCTATGTCGCGCCCATATGACCTATGTCGCGCCCATATGACCTATGTCGCGCCCATATGACCTATGTCGCGCCCATATGACCTATGTCGCGCCCATATGACCTATGTCGCGCCCATATGACCTATGTCGCGCCCATATGACCTATGTCGCGCCCATATGACCTATGTCGCGCCCATATGACCTATGTCGCGCCCATATGACCTATGCCTATAACGCTGTTTTATCTGATCATTTGTTTTGGACGCCCCGCCCCATCTCACCATCTATTCAGCAACCCTATTTCTTTCGACCATTTGTTTTGGACTCCTAATCTCACCATCTATTCAGCAACCTTATTTCTTTCGACCATTTGTTTTGGACTCCTAATCTCACCATCTATTCTGCAACCCTATTTCTTTCGACCATTTGTTTTGGACTCCCCATCTTGCCATCCATCTCAACAGCCCTGTTCCCCTGGACCATTTATCTGTTGACGAAAACATCGGAGAATAGAACAGCTGGTTGTCACATACAGCCCTTATGTCACAGCTCGTCTGTAAATTATACCCAATTACTGCAAGAGACAATGACAGTTTTTAGACGTAATTAACTCTATTAACTTGATCACACACAAACAGGGAGACCTCTATTATCATCTAATGATTATTGAGATACTTATGATTGCACGTGCAAAATTACTAATTGCTAATATAAAAGGTATTTCGGATTGGAGTGAACATACTATTTGTTTTCATTTCGTTTGAGGTATGTTTTTGTATTTACACCACAGCATATTAAATATGTTTTTTTTTTATTTACACCACAGCCTACAAAGTATGTTTTTTGTATTTACACCACAGCATATTAAATATGTTTTTTTATTTACACCACAGCATACAAAATATGTTTTTGTATTTACACCACAGCATATTAAATATGTTTTTTTACTTTCTCGTATATACGTAGTATAGAGAAAGTATTGTAATCGTGCAAAAAAAAAAAATCGAGATTTTTACAAATCTCGACGTTTTACACCTCACTGATACGGAAAAACATAATTTTGCAATCTTGTCCGTATGTCTGTGTGTGTGTGTGTCTGTGTGTCTGTCCGTGTGTAAACACGATAACTTGAGTACCGTTACAGTTAGGTTGATGAAATTTCATATATAAGTATTTTATCAAAATCGTAGATCCGTATCAACTTTTGAGCGATTTCCGACAACCGGAAGTGGTACTTTTTCTACTTTGAATTTTTCAAAAGCCTATAACTTGAGTACTATTTCAGATAGATAAATGAAATTTCACATGTAAGTAAAAGATCTAATTCTCTACCTTCTGTTAAATTTTGAGTAATTTCCGTTGACCGGAAGTAGTAATTTACGCTACTTCCGATTTCTCAAAAAACTAATGTAAATTTTTAAAGTACTAATAATATTGCGCACTATTATACACACCTTTATTAGGCGTTCGCTTGGTGCGCAATTGTTTTTTACTGAGATTCTATTCTATTTTTAAAAGTTTCAGTATTTAAAATGGATTAAAAATCATAACTATATCCCCAGTTACCATCCCCTGTTGTTTTATATAAGAATATTCGAGAAAGTTTAGGGGAGATCACTACCGGTTTATTATTTACACCACAGCATATTAAATATGCTTTTTTTACTTTCTCGTATATACGAAGTATAGAGAAAGTCTTGTAATCGTGCAAAAAAAAAAAATCGAGATTTTTGCAAATCTCGACGTTTTGCATCTCACTGATACGGAAAAACATAATTTTGCAATCTTGTCCGTATGTCTGTGTGTCTGTGTGTGTGTGTGTGTGTGTGTGTGTGTGTCCGTGTGTAAACACGATAACTTGAGTACCGTTACAGCTAGGTTGATGAAATTTCATATATAAGTATTTAATCAAAATCGTAGATCCGTATCAACTTTTGAGCTATTTCCGATAACCGGAAGTGGTACTTTTCCTACTTTGAATTTTTCAAAAGCCTATAACTTGAGTACTATTTCAGATAGATAAATGAAATTTCATACGTAAGTAAAAGATCTAATTCTCTACCTTCTATTAAATTTTGAGTCATTTCCGTTGACTGGAAGTAGTACTTTACGCTACTTCCGATTTCTCAAAAAACTAATGTAAATTTTAAAAGTAATAATAATATTGCGCACTATTATGCGCTTTTTTATTTCGCGTTCACTTGGTGTGCAATTAATTTGTCTACGAGATTTTATTCTATTTTTAAAACTTTAAGTATTTAACATGGATTAAAAATCATGTCTATAGCCCGAGTTCCCATCCCCTGTTATCTATAATAATAGTTTCGCTGTCTGTCAAGAACGCTCTGTCTGACAAGAACGCTCTGTCTGACAAGAACGCTCTAGAGAAAACACAAGCAAAATAAAAACATGCACAGTAATTCGAAAAACGAAATATGACGTCGACACATTTAGCGTAGAGTAGAACATAATCTCAAACCAGAGAGTGCACACAGTCATATGACGTCATTGATTCTACATTGAAAAAAAGGAAATGTTGTCTAATCTAAATGGTTTGCGTGAAGATTTTCTTGCATACAATTCTTCGGGTAGGGGCGAAGCCCCACCCCCCGCGTAAGAACGTCTGAGCCCCCCCCCCCCTCCCCAACTCAAAAGAAATTTCCTCATCGATACTCTATAATAAAATTACCGCCTAATTAATGTGTCTAATCTAAAAAGTGGTTTTCTTGCAATGGGACGGTAGACATGTTTTTTTTTGGGGGGGGGGGGGGGTGGAGGGGTGGGGGGGTGTGTGGGGGTGGGGGGGGGGGGTGGTGTGTGGGGGGGTGGGTTGGTTTCAGTGTTTCTTTCAGACTTTTTCCTCCCCGGAGAGGGGTGGGGGTACTTGAAATTTTCGGGGGCGGGGGTAGAATTTTCTGGGAGGGGGCGGACACTGGAAAAAGTATATAATTATATTTCGTTGAATGGGACGGTAGACATGCTTTTTTGGGGGGTGGGGGTGGTGGAGGGGTGGGGAGGGGTGGTGTGGGGTGGGGTGGGGGTGGTGTGGGGGGGGGTGGGGGTGGTGTGTGGGGGGGGGGGGGTGGTGTGTGGGGGGGGTGGGTTGGTTTCAGTGTTTCTTTCAGACTTTTTCCTCCCCGGAGAGGGGTGGGGGTATTTGAAATTTTCGGGGGCGGGGGTAGAATTTTCTGGGAGGGGGCGGGCACTGGAAAAAGTATATAATTATATTTCGTTGAATTGGACGGTAGCCATGTTTTTTTTTTGGGGGGGTGGGGGGTGGGGGGCGGTGTGTGGAGGGGGTGGTGTGTGGGGGTGAGGGGTGGGGGTGGGGGTGGTGTGTGGTGTGTGGTGGGGGTGGGGGTGGTGTGGGGGGTGGGGGGTAGGGTGGGGGTGGTGTGTGGGGGGGTGGGTTGGTTTTAGTTTAGAGAAAAGAGACAGCACTATCAGCCTAGCGCCCGTTGTACCCTTCCTCAACGGGCCATTTTTCTCGTTTTATATAAGAATATTCGAGAAAGTTTAGGGGAGATCACTCCCGGTTTATTTTTTTATTTACACCACAGCATACAAAGAATCATTTTTTTCACTACGTCATACAACGTATGTTTTTGTATTTACGCCATATAAAACTACAAAGTATGTCTTACACAGTATGTTTTTATTTAACCTACATCATACAATTAGTCTCTTTGTAGAGTTACACTGCATCCTACAATAAAGACATTGTGACATGCGGTATTGCTAGAACTCATCTAACAATTTTATATTTTAAGTTTTTGCTTCATGGTATGTGGGCCTATACATATTAAACAAGACAACATAGCTCCCCACTTTCGACCATTGAAATAATTATAGTGTATACAAATCGAAAACTAGTACATAGGAGAGAAAAACTAGGTTTTAATATGGGAAGTTTTGGGCTTGTGTGTGTCTGTGTGTGTTTATGATGTGAGTGGTGATAGTGTGAGAGGGAGCAGGAATTTCTCTCACAAGCTGGTGCCGGTTGACCTTCATTGGTGAAGAATCTCAAGGTCGTCCCAGAAGACGTGACACCTACGCCGTGCTTACAGGTACAGAGTATTCCACACCTAGGGTCTGATGCTGTTCGCCTAAGAGCAAGGGTTGTTACCAGGGACGTAGGGAGATGGGGGGGGGGCGGGGGGGGGGCGGACCGCACCGGGTGACACCATTTAGGGGGGTGACACCAAGGCAAAAAATAGCAGAATATATAGAGAAAAACTTGAGGGGGGGTGCAAATCGAAAGTTTGAAAGTTTGTCCCCGGTAAGGGTCGCTACTACGCCTCTGGGGGGGGGGGGTGACACCATTAAGTGCCGCACCGGGTGACACCCGACCTCGCTACGCCACTGGTTGTTACTATTGTGACGACCAACACGAGTTTGTTACTACAATGTTACTGTTACCCTGAGAATAGACTGGTCAAAACACCAGGTTTGCTGAACGAGATTACTAATTCTATAGGGCGTACATGCTGTGTTGTACTGAATGGTACAAGCTACACACACCAACTACTGTTTGGTACACACTACACACATCAACTACTGTTTGTTACAAACATCGACTACTGTTTGGTACACACTACACACACCGATTACTGTACAGTACACACTACACACACCAACTACTGTGCTGGTCTGTGACGTCACAAGCCCATGTTTCATCATCACAACAGACACCTCTGTGCGCACCCGGGTTCAATGAGAGAGCTCTTTAAAAACACAAGTATACATTTTTATTGGCATTTGCATTTAGTAGAGAGTATTTAAAAAGTCTAAAAAATTTCAATTTGGTCATTATACACCAACCTAAAACAGTTTTGCACATATAGACGTGATTGATCGCTGTAAGGTGAATTTATTTTCTTCTAGATATCTATTGAGTAAAACCTAGATCGATGTAAGGTAATCTTATTTTCTTATAGATATCTATTGAGTAAAACCTAGATCGCTGTAAGATGATCTTATTTTTTTCTCTAGATATCTAATCTAGTGACTATACCCCGATCAAAGAAAGATGAAGCTACTGTTGATGTTCTGTTTGCTCGGATTTGTGGCTGTTTGCAAAGCTCAAGACAGTTGTGTGGTTGATGGTGTTACCTATAGGGTAAATAGATTTATTTCTAGATGTGTTACTTATAGGGTAAATAGATTTTTTTCTAGATGTGTTACCGATAGGGTAAATAGATTTCTTTCTAGGTGTGTTACCGATAGGGTAAATAGATTTCTTTCTAGGTGTGTTACCGATAGGGTAAATAGATTTCTTTCTAGGTGTGTTACCTATAAGGTAAATAGATTTCCTACCAGATGTGTTATCAGTTTTGTCTATCCTCTTTTCACGTTCTTGCCCTAGAAACATGGGGCAGATGAAGTTGGGTTCATCTGTTTCAGTGATCTCGACAAATAAACTATTCCCATCCGCCTTTAGTTTCCTTAACGTGGGTTAGGTACCCATCAAACTGGATGGACTCAGGGACATTCTACTGAATTGAACCCGAATTCGAACTCGAGACTTCTGGGTTAGCAGTCTAGCGCTCTACCGATAGACCACGCCGAAGCATAATTGTGTCTATAGAAAAAAATTAAAGATAATCAGTAATACTAAGATAATTGCTTAATTGTTAGTTGCAAAATGGCAGTTTTATCACTTTTCGCATTTATTGGCAGAAATCAACAGAGATTATCGCTTTTTAACGATATCTAAAACGTCGTCTCCTTCACTCCATAGAGATGTGAAGTAGCAAACTGTGGTTTATTATTTCAGTTGGAGTTTCTTCTTTCTGAATAATGGTCATAATTTTTTTTTATAGACAGCACTTGAATCCACAAAATGCTCACATGCAAAATACAGTTTATACTCCCAAATGAAGTGTGATTCACAGAAGTATAAAAACACATTGAACACGACATTTTCTAAGACCTGGACTATAATTAATGTTTCCCCCCCCCCCTCCCTCCCCCACCCCCCCCCCCCCCCCAGAACGGTGAGGAGATCCCAACAGGCGACCCCTGCAACCCGTGTTACTGTCACGTACCAGCAGGCCGCGTGTGTGCCGCACTCTACTGCTCCTGGCCCAGGTGTGACCCTGGACAGGCTGTGACCTACTACCCTGGTCAGTGCTGCCCTGGATGCGAGGTCAGTGCCCTTTTGTCCAGATAATTTATTAACCGCTTACACATTCCCCAATAATGTATACATGATAATTCTGTCCAGATAATTTAACCGCTTACACTTTCCCCATTATACATGATAATTTTGTCCAGATAATTTAACCGCTTACACATTCCCCATTTATGTATACATGATAATTTTGTCCAGATAATTTAACCGCTGACACATTCCCCATTAATGTATACATGATAATTTTGTCCGGATAATTTATTAACCGCTTACACTTTCCCCATTAATGTATACATGATAATTTTGTCCAGATAATTTAACCGCTTACACTTTCCCCATTATACATGATAATTTTGTCCAGATAATTTAACCGCTTACACTTTCCCCATTAATGTATACATGATAATTTTGTCCAGATAATTTAACCGCTTACACATTTCCCATTAATGTATACATGATAATTTTGTCCAGATAATTTATTAACCGCTTACACATTCCCCATTTATGTATACATGATAATTTTGTCCAGATAATTTAACCGCTGACACATTCCCCATTAATGTATACATGATAATTTTGTCCAGATAATTTATTAACCGCTTACACATTCCCCATTTATGTATACATGATAATTTTGTCCAGATAATTTAACCGCTGACACATTCCCCATTAATGTATACATGATAATTTTGTCCAGATAATTTATTAACCGCTTACACATTCCCCATTTATGTATACATGATAATTTTGTCCAGATAATTTAACCGCTTACACATTCCCCATTTATGTATACATGATAATTTTGTCCAGATAATTTAACCGCTTACACATTCCCCATTAATGTATACATGATAATTTTGTCCAGATAATTTAACCGCTTACACATTCCCCATTAATGTATACATGATAATTTTGTCCGGATAATTTAACCGCTGACACATTCCCCATTTATGTATACATGATAATTTTGTCCAGATAATTTAACCGCTGACACATTCCCCATTAATGTATACATGATAATTTTGTCCAGATAATTTATTAACCGCTTACACATTCCCCATTAATGTATACATGATAATTTTGTCCAGATAATTTAACCGCTGACACATTCCCCATTAATGTATACATGATAATTTTGTCCAGATAATTTATTAACCGCTTACACATTCCCCATTAATGTATACATGATAATTTTGTCCAGATAATTTAACCGCTGACACATTCCCCATTAATGTATACATGATAATTTTGTCCAGATAATTTATTAACCGCTTACACATTCCCCATTTATGTATACATGATAATTTTGTCCAGATAATTTAACCGCTGACACATTCCCCATTAATGTATACATGATAATTTTGTCCAGATAATTTATTAACCGCTTACACATTCCCCATTTATGTATACATGATAATTTTGTCCAGATAATTTAACCGCTGACACTTTCCCCATTAATGTATACATGATAATTTTGTCCAGATAATTTAACCGCTTACACTTTCCCCATTAATGTATACATGATAATTTTGTCCAGATAATTTAACCGCTTACACTTTCCCCATTTATGTATACATGATAATTTTGTCCAGATAATTTAACCGCTGACACATTCCCCATTAATGTATACATGATAATTTTGTCCAGATAATTTATTAACCGCTTACACATTCCCCATTTATGTATACATGATAATTTTGTCCAGATAATTTAACTGCTGACACTTTCCCCATTAATGTATACATGATAATTTTGTCCAGATAATTTAACCGCTTACACTTTCCCCATTAATGTATACATGATAATTTTGTCCAGATAATTTAACCGCTTACACTTTCCCCATTTATGTATACATGATAATTTTGTCCAGATAATTTAACCGCTGACACATTCCCCATTTATGTATACATGATAATTTTGTCCAGATAATTTAACCGCTTACACATTCCCCATTTATGTATACATGATATTAATAATCTGTGATTGTTGTTGTTTCTAATTTGTCTACACTGATTATGAACTCACTCACGCAATATATAATTTACATAGAAAATATATACTTTAACCACTGCACCCTCCTCCAGACTAGACGTTTTTAAGTCCTTCCCCGAGAAAAATCTCTAAAAGAAACTCTGTTAAAGTACCTGTGTGCTTGTGGTCTAGTCTTGTAACTCAAATTTCACCCAATTTTAATATAGTGATACATTTCTTAACGAATACGCCGCAAAAGTCTAGTTTTTAATCTAAATAGATAGTGAATTCGTGATTACAAATTAGTTAAAATATTACATTAACTCCTAAAGGGAGATAACAGCGACACCTCGATTTTTCGAGTTGTTTCCTCACACTAGAACCGACTAATAAAGGGAGATAATCATAGTTTATATAAGATCACCAGCTATTGTTTGAATGAAATGGATATGAAACATGTTGAGGACTTCAAGATTCAGAGTTTTTTTCAATAAAAAATTTGTGTTAAAGCATATACTCCAACATTCATTTGGTCAACTGGAAACTATTGTAGCTTAAAAACGTTTATTTATATAAACTGTTCTGTTTATAAACTATACTTTAAATACATTTGTTTTTTCAATAATTAATTTTATTGGAATTACGTCGAATTGGTCCTCCTATTCAATATTTTTTTATTATAAAATTTTATTTTGGTAAACTTTTTATAAACAAATGTTAGTTTTTAGAAACTTTTCATTTATTAAGCTTTTCTTTTGGTAAACTTTTCCTTTAATAAACGTGTTAGAAATAAATGTTCATTTAATAAACTCATTGAATAAACTTTTCTTTTAATAAACTTTACTTTCCCTAGCCTGCACAACTAGTCAGCTGAAACAAGAGCTCCTTCATCCAAAGATTTCCATAAAAATGTGAATTGAACAAAATAGCGAAATAAATTACATGTGAACCGCTCGAAATGACTGATGTTTTCTATTGTTGACGTGTAAAGCAGTATGCTTAGGTTTGCATGAAGGAGAAGATTAGTTTTGTGGTTTATTTAGGTTGAGAAATGAGCTAAGGATTTGTTTAAGGGTTAGTTCTTGTAATATGAGAAAATTATTTAAATTATCAAATGGACCTGGTAATTTATATGTTTCAGGCCTAACAAATTAACCTGGTAATTTATATGTTTAAGGCTTGCAAATGTGTGGATAGACATATTAAAAATATTTTTTTTTCTAACCTAAAACGGCTGATATAAGAAAAAATATTCCGCCTCGTAAGTCTTAAGCCTAGGTCTAATACATGAGGATTGAAATACTTCAAACACCAGATGGTGGTGCGTAAAGTCGGATGCAGCATCCCCCCTCACCCCCACCCCCCACAACCAACCCCATGAATAACATTCTTTGAGAGTCCATGTTTTAGAGCATTATATACGGCGCTCCACTGCTGGGGTATTTTTTGTTTTGTCTTCTGACAAGACTCAGGTTTTTGTTAAAGCTATGAATTATTTCACAAACTCTATTATAATCACATATATACATACATACACGTACCATAGTATGTATTGGATACCTTTACTACAATTTAAGGAGCCACTCTCACTTTTATTAATAGTTATTTTTTTAGCGGTTGATTATGATATATTTAAAGAAAATCATTATATTTTTTTTACTTAATATATAAAAGCTTACTTTAATATATGTTTTCGTTTTTTTTTTATTTTATAAAATTAAATCGCATTAGTAAAATACTTGTCTATCATTTTAATTTTTTTTGTCTTATTATTTCAAAGTATGTCACATTGCATTGTCATTGGGTCCTGCCCTACTTGTCAAGTTTGAAAAACGTCGTTCGGTAGAATTTGTTGAATAGCTTCTCATCATTTTCGCCCCATAGCAGACCATCAAGTACAGAAAAAAAATACAAAAGCACTATTATATAAAAGAAAAACAACAAGTTTCTCCACACAAACAACCCTAATCTGGTCACTCTCAGCAAACCTACCAGTTTCCACAATGTTGTATACCTACTTTTGAAAGTCAGAACAAACCTACCAGTTTCCACAATGTTGTATACCTACTTTTGAAAGTCAGAACAAACCTACCAGTTTCCACAATGTTGTATACCTACTTTTGAAAGTCAGAACAAACCTACCAGTTTCCACAATGTTGTATACCTACTTTTGAAAGTCAGAACAAACCTACCAGTTTCCACAATGTTGTATACCTACTTTTGAAAGTCAGAACAAACCTACCAGTTTCCACAATGTTGTATACCTACTTTTGAAAGTTAGAACAAACTTTCCAGTTTCCACAATGTTGTATACCTACTTTTGAAACTTAGAACAAACCTACCAGTTTCCACAATGTTGTATACCTACTTTTGAAACTTAGAACAAACCTACCAGTTTCCACAATGTTGTATACCTACTTTTGAAAGTTTGAGCAAACCTACCAGTTTCCACAATGTTGTATACCTACTTTCGAAAGTTAGGAGTACTTTATTAAAATATTTTTTAAAGTATCAATATTTTACAATGTTAAATTCACACTTGCAAATCTGTATTTTTTAAAAATATTTTCTACGTCGTGTGATAAATTATACAACGACCATCACTAGATGATGTAATTCTTTGCATTTAGGCGAAGCTAATTGAACAACAAAGTTAAATGACCAACAAAGTAAAATGACCAACTAAGCAACCCAGCTAAACTTACAACAGAATAGGGGCTCATTAGTTTCTGCAGCATGATGTTGTGGTGACTAAGTTAAAACCTCTATTCCTCCCAGAGGCGGAAATCAATTGTTGTCTGTGAGCTCATTTAAGAGAAGAAAAGAAAGTCATTTTAAATTATTGCGATATAGACAATATACAACGGTGTTTACTGTTTCACTACTTATCATACGTCATAATTTGTTTATATATATATATATATATATATATATATATATATATATATATATATATATATATATATATATATATATATATAGTTTTTTGTTAGTATGTGCCCACAGCGTTTTCCCTACATTAATTAAACGATACACCCCTGATCAAGACAACCATGTGTTGAAATGAGCACGCTAATTGGTCGAGATTGTTTACACTACAGTAAATACATGATGACAAACACCAGTGAAAAATGATACTGCTGACATTCTGTTTTGGATTCCAAGTAATTCTATTAGTTGGGTGGAACTTTTTTTTATTAAATCTTCAGCTTTGGTGACTAAGCCTGTTTTGTGGACAGGTTAGCTTGATGGACAGGTCAGCTTGATGGATAGGTCAGCTTGATGGACAGGTCAGCTTGATGGACAGGTCAGCTTAATGGAGAGGTCAGCTTGATGAATAGGTCAGCTTGATGGACAGGTCAGCTTGATGGACAGGTCAGCTTAATGGAAAGGTCAGCTTGATTGAGAGGTCAGTTTGACGTATAGGCCAGTTTGATGGATAGGTCAGTTTGATGGATAGGTCAGCTTGATGGACAGGTCAGATTGATGGATAGGTCAGCTAGATGTATAGGTCAACTAGATGGACAGGTCAACTAGATAGACAAGTCAACTAGATGGACAGGTCAACTTGATGGACAGGTCAGTTTCATGGATAGGTCAGTTTGATGGATAGGTCAGCTTGATGTATAGGTCAACTAGATGGACAGGTCAACTTGATTGATAAGTCAGCTTGATGTATAGGTCAACTAGATGGACAAGTTAGTTTGATAGACTGGTCAGAAAATGTGAACCAGGAGTTTGTTTTTATTATTGGTAGCCACTACATCTTATCGCCTATCTGAAAATGACATCAATTAGTGCTCCATTACGTTTACTGAATGTCAGACAATTAAGCAGCTATGTTTCATCTTGCTTGAAATGCCAACCTTGTACTCTGGTGCTATAAATGTTCTGCACCAGATGTCTCCAATCCAATCGATACTCAATGTTGCTATTTGTATAACTTTTCTCACACTTTATTTATGGTTCTGTAATTGTGATAATTTTCTCCTTTTGACATTTTTTATATTCTCGACCATTTATTTCAATTATTGTCTCGTTTTTTGTAACTTTGATAGTTTTTTTTTTCTTATCTTGACATTATTTTAATAATTGAGTATAAGTTGTGTACTTTTGCCAATAGTTGTGTATTGAGCTATGTCATGTATGTTGTTGTTTTATCATTGTCTTCTTACTCTACATGTCTTTACGTATGTTATCCTTGTCTATAATCTTTTGTTTGACTAAGTCATTATGATTGTGCTAGATTAAACTTCCAGCACCATACGACGATGATGAAATACGTTCTTGTTCTGGTCTTGCTGGCAGCAGCGACTGTCACCACAGCAAAAGGTGCGTGTAAAGATGAACCAGACGAATCCAAAGGTACCTGTGTGATCGATGGCGTCACCTATCAGGTACGGGCATTTAAATTCTCGATAGTGTTTAAGGTTCAAACCATGATCTTTGTCAAAAACAATGGTCCCATATAGATGTATTGATTAATGTTTTGTAGCATACCAGTCACCACCAAAGATAGATATAACAATGTGGTGTCAGTGATCACAGATATATATATATATATATATATATATATATATATATATATATATATATATATATATATATATATATATATATATATATATAACAAGTAATGTGGTGTACCACGTCAGAGACCACAGATAGATATAACAAGGAATGTAACGTTTCGGTTCAAGGGACGGAAGGAATGTTGACCTCCAGTATTTTCTGATGTAAAAATATGCCTGCTGTGTATATATTTCTCTGATGTCATTGTACAATTAAAACTGTAAATTGGTTTCGTTACTTCAGTACAATGAAAGAATCCCAACGGATGATCCCTGTGAAGAATGTCACTGTCACGACCAATCAACACCTTTGTGCGTGATCTCATACTGCGAATTGCCAAAGTGCCAACAAGGCTACCAGGTCGTCTTCCCAAAAGACCGGTGCTGCCCTTATTGCCAGGTACTAGTGTTTGTTAACTTACAGCTGACAGTGACCTTGACAAAGACTCGTTCTGCCCTGGGTGTCAAGTACTTGAGTGTGTTTACTGTTGACCTTGACCTTGACGCGAAGATGGGTGCTGACCTAGATGCCATGTGTGAGATTGCTTACGGCTGACCATGACCTTGACCATGGCCCATGGGTGCTGACCTAGATGCCATGTGTGAGATTGCTTACGGCTGACCATGACCTTGACCATGGCCCATGGGTGCTGACCTAGATGCCATGTGTGAGATTGCTTACGGCTGACCATGACCTTGACCATGGCCCATGGGTGCTGACCTAGATGCCATGTGTGAGATTGCTTACGGCTGACCATGACCTAGACCATGACCCAATGATGGGTGCTGCCCTGAATAATTAGTTGACCTTTGAGCTAAAAAAGTTCGAGCTCTGAGGGGCGGACCCAGATCGACACTTATCCTCTTCAGTTGTTTTTTAATAATTGTCAAAATACACTTTCGTAATTAAAAGATTATATTATAATGCTTTTCTGCTTGGAAATTTTGATTTGTTTACTAGAAATTATTCGCCTAAAGTAGGAAACGAGTCTAGATTATAGAAGTAGGGTCTACCTTTAGTTTGTATGATCTACAAATGCGACCCAGAGGGGGGTGGGGTGGAGACTGTTGAAACTTTTGTGGGGGGAGGCTAAATTTTACGGGGAGAGGAGCCCTAGGAGCGTACACTAGTAAAAGTATATTTTTTATATACATTCTATTTCTTTATAGGGGCAGTTGACGTTCTTCTGGGGGCTCAGCCCCCCCCCCCCCCACCCCGAAGAGTTGCCTAAAAGAAACTCTAAATGCGACTTTTGTCACGTTTGAGGTTAGGTGCAAGAGTTAGGGGTATGGCTACGACTAAATTTAGTACGTATGTGCAGTAACTACGTGTAGATCAAGTTTAAATTCGATTAAAATGCCGATTCTGGATAAATGTCCGTTTTCAATGACATTTTTTGTTTCCGGTTAAATTTGAAGATGAGATGGTGATTTTGGTTTTGATTTCGGTTTATAGAAAAAGATAGATCTAGTAACCTAGCGCCCGTTGTATCTCTCCCACAAAGGGTCATTTATCTAGTTTTAAATAAGCGTGTACCTATTATTGTATCGTAGCTTTGCTGTGTAAGACATGTATATTTGTTAATTCTTCCAACCCTTCTTGACTTTTCTTATCATAGACAAAATCTTTTTATTACCATGAAATAAAATAAAAATCATTATAATTTGAAAACACTAAAACTCAAAGCCTTACTGCTTAAAAGGCTTATCCTTTTATCTCTTAAGTGTTTCTATTGTTTGTATCCATTTACGCTTTTTTTATAACACTCAAGATCTTATTAAAATTTAAAGTCACAATTTAATTCTCCTTCTGTTTCCATAGCCCATCCCTCAACAAGTGACACCTTGTCTGACCAAGTCATGAAGAGGATTTTATCATCGGCAAAAAACTGAAACACGAATCATTAATAAAATAGTTTAATTATATTTTTCATTGTACAGTTTTCGTGATTTTTGTGTACGGCGTTATTAATTACCACGAGTATTAAAACTGAGTTAAGTTATTAATGTGGCTGTAAATTCTTATGTAGGAAGTTGTATACGAGTGGTAGATAACACACTGATAACCCGATGATCTAGAGTTCGGATCTATAACCAGGTCCATTCGAGTTTACCCGGTTGATGGGTAGTGTCTGACTTGTTGGTTCAATAAAACTGGTCGCACGTGATATGATACACATACTTACATCATAGGTGAGCTCAGAAGAAACCGATCAGCTCTACTTCACCTGCCATGATGTATCTAATCCGGACTATGAAGATGTCAAACGAGCTTGGTTTTTCTGTTGAAAAAAGAGCTGTGAATACACATCTAGAGATCGTAGAAGAAAGCCCAAACAAAATAGTGGCACCTCTTGGAAAATTCGTGAATGTGGTCAAAACTGTCCAGTGGCCGCATTTTCTGAAATAAACATATAGGTCGTCGATCAAAGCCTCTGGATTTCCTTAAATCTTACGTAGAACGTCTTTATTCGGTATATTTGTAAGGGAAATAACTTCCTAAAATATTAATTTTTCGAAGGTTTTTATTCTATTGTGACGCTTGTTACTATTTGTTAGAGTAATAATTTCAATATCTGTTAATAAGAGTACCTTTGTTAAATTACAAAAATCGATTAAAAAGCTAAATTAATTTAATTACATTATCGCTTAACCTTAGTATGCGCAATAAATCTGTTCGTAATGTCTATTTTATAATTGAAGTAAATTGATTAAAATTTGTGAACTACAAATTACTACAAATAATTTTAACCAAGAGTATTGAACATTAAAGTATGCATCAATATTTACTCATTCTTTTTTAAACTACCACGCGGGGACGGTGTGATGGGACGGTAGAACTTACGAGAAATCACGATCTGAGTCTCTAGGACGTCCTCAGTCCACACTGGTCAGTTAGGACAACGAAGTTGCTGCAAATAGTGTTGACCACACTATCCATCATACGCGGAGATCATTGAAACAGATGAACTCTACTTCATCTGCACCATGTGTGTTGGGCACAAATGGTAATTGGTGATGATGAGATGAGAGAAACTTTTCAAAATAATTGTTTTGAGTTTTATTTTTTCCCGTTACGATGTACTTTAGTCTAGACTTAATGTACTTTAGTCGAGTCTAGATTTGATACACTTAAGTCGAGTCTACACTTGATGTACTATAGTCTAGTATTTATGCACTTTAAGCCTGTTTAATTTAATATCTTCGACAGCTGAGATTAGTCCTTCAAATATTCTAATGAGACCGATGACCTACATGATTGCATTTTGATGATTTTTACGAACACCAACGCCTTAGAATTCAGGGGTCTCTAAACTTTTTAATCCGAGGGCCGCATTAACTATCACATTTCAGTTTGGGGGCCAATTTGTTTCTAGGTATGTCGTAATTTTTCTGAGCAAAGTTCCTCAGCCATCACCAACAAACTTTTTTCCGTGGACAAAAAGATCTCCGCGGGCCGGATGAGAGGACCTCGCGGGCCGCTTCCGGCCCGCGGGTCGTAGTTTGGCGACCCCTGCCTTAGATAGTTAATGTTGCTATCGTACTGTAACTGTACCTCTGGGACTGTAGATCTTACTGTAACTGTACCCATGGGACTGTAGATCTTACTGTAAGTGTACCCCTGGGACTGTAGATCTTACTGTAACTGTACCCCTAGGACTGGGGATCGTACCGTAACTGTACTTCTGGGACTGTAGATCTTACCGTAACTGTACCCATGGGACTGTAGATCTTACTGTAACTGTACCCCTAGGACTGGGGATCGTACCGTAACTGTACTTCTGGGACTGTAGATCTTACCATAACTGTACCCATGGGACTGTAGATCTTACTGTAACTGTACCCCTAGGACTGGGGATCGTATTGTATTGGGGATTGCATCAAAATATATAAAAAACTGATTAGGGGTCTAGTTCTGACGGACGTAGAATATTTTATTTGTTCCCACTCTTTCTTCTCGTTATGGCCATTACCGGCTTCATCTTTTGGTCACTAGACCGACAAAGTAGCGCATGTCGGGATTTGTGACACAACGGGCTGTGAGGCCGCATGTTAACATATTTATATCAAACAGTTTTTTTTTATCCTATCACATGCTTTGGGCTGCTGTATCATTTAATAGTTTCTTAATTTACTAAAAATAAATGACAATTTTACTCTTTCTTTTATAAGATATTCTATTTTTTTTTAAATATACTATTTTTCAAAATGTCCTACTATAAAAGGTAACCTACTTCAATTTTTTTTCTAGTTTTTAAAACGTCCTATTTCAAATGTCCTATTTTAAAAATGTCTTTCTGTTAAACTATCTTATTTTTAAAATGTTCTCTTTCTAGAAATGTTCAAAGCTTACCAGAATGTATCTTGTTTGTTAAGTTAAGTTTCTGCTTGCTTAAATTTTGCCCTAAAGCCTGGAGCAAAAATCAGTAAACCAGAGCGGACAGTGGAGTGTCAGTTGACCTTGATACAGAGATAGCCGCTTGTATAAAAACTTGGTCACTCAGGCGCTTCACGTTTGATCAAATGTTGGTGACAAGTTTTCTTTTTACATGTGGTTTTTAGATCATTTTACTTTCTCGTATATACGTAGTATAGAGAAAGTATTGTAATCGTGCAAAAAAAAAAAATCGAGATTTTTACAAATCTCGACGTTTTACACCTCACTGATACGGAAAAACATAATTTTGCAATCTTGTCCGTATGTCTGTGTGTGTGTGTGTCTGTCCGTGTGTGTGTCTGTGTGTAAACACGATAACTTGAGTACCGTTACAGCTAGGTTGATGAAATTTCATATATAAGTATTTTATCAAAATCGTAGATCCGTATCAACTTTTGAGCGATTTCCGATAACCGGAAGTGGTACTTTTCCTACTTTGAATTTTTTAAAAGCCTATAACTTGAGTACTATTTCAGATAGATAAATGAAATTTCACATGTAAGTAAAAGATCTAATTCTCTACCTTCTGTTAAATTTTGAGTAATTTCCGTTGACTGGAAGTAGTAATTTACGCTACTTCCGATTTCTCAAAAAACTAATGTAAATTTTAAAAGTACTAATAATATTGCGCACTATTATGCGCTTTTTTTTATTTGCGTTCACTTGGTGTGCAATTAATTTGTCTACGAGATTTTATTCTATTTTTAAAGCTTTAAGTATTTAAAATGGATTAAAAATCATGTCTATAGCCCGAGTTCCCATCCCCTGTTATTTTATATAAGAATATTCGAGAAAGTTTAGGGGAGATCACTCCCGGTTTATTTTATTTATACGTAATTAAAATTGTAATATTTTTCATGTTTCTTTTTCTGTTATTTTTTTTCTTTAAATCAGTCATTAAATTTGGATTAAAATTGTAAGATTATATTTTTACTTGTAATCGACATTTTAAATAAAGCATTACTAGGAGACGATTGTGTATCGAAACTGCCGAGCGAAATTTCGAGCATTTCTAGCTGGTCGATTCGTTTCAAACTTGGCACGTGGTTCAAGACCCATCGACAATCTAATATGACATCAAATTTGACTTAATTGGATGCCTAATTAACTTTTTATGAATTAATTAAAATGTACTAAATAAAATAGGGGGGGGGGCTACTAATTATTACTCGCGCATTTTCCTCTGCTGTAGGTAGTTGCCAAGGTTGGTTTATAGTTTCCATTTATGTTGGTGTGGCTGTACGCTAAGTGCTAACGTTGTGTCCACAGGAAAATGAAAGCCATGACTGCTCTTTGTGTGCTCACTCTGGCTGCAGCCATCATAGCAGATGACGGGCCTGACAGCTACTGCTCGACCGTCCCCGTGAGTAGGCTCGAGGTTTTATATGTACTCACGAGCATGGATCAGCGTAATTAGTGAGATACAATTATACAAATAACATTATGACCTTCAAAAAACAGACATGTGTTATCAGGATATCGCTATGCTCCGCCCATTTGACATCAGCGTCAAGTCATATTGTGGCATATGACACAAGCGCCACCCCCAACCCCCCCCCCCCCCCCCTCTCACCATTGTGATGTGACCCATTCCTTTCGTTCATGTTACAAAAGCTTGTATGTAGCATCAACTAGTGTCTCTGAAATATACGTCTCCCCCATAGCAAACATGAGGCTAGTGAATCCACTAACAGTAAAAGACAAAGAAAATAGTGCATTCCCTGAAGAACCTGAACAAATGAAATCAAGTTTCTTTATTTTCAATTAGTTGAGCCAGGTACCCATTATAGCTGAGTGCGCTCCGGAATCTAACCTCCCTAGACATTTGCGTTAAAATTCATGCAATCTATCTCCCAACCACGTAGTTCCACGTGTCTTGCTAGATGTAAGCAGCTTAAAGCAACATAGTCAGCAGGTTAGGGTAATCCGAACTATACGTTAAGATGCACCATCGTACCTGTTATAAGACACCTCCACCATCTTTATCTATTTCAGGCCGGAAGCTTCTACCAGAAGGACGCGTGCACTTCCTGTTTTTGTGACGACTCGTCACGTAGCTCATGTGCGACTGTGTCGTGTCAAATACCAGACTGTGATGGTGACTCACAGCTGGAGTACGTGGAGGACCAGTGCTGTCCTACCTGCTCTCAGGTCAGTGTTACCTGCTCTTAGGTCAGTGTTACCTGCTCCCAGGTGTTACCTGCTCTCATGTGTTACCTGCTCTCATGTATTACCTGCTCCCAGGTCAGTGTTACCTGCTCCCAGGTGTTACTTGCTCTCAGGTGTTACCTGCTCTCAGGTGTTACCTGCTCTCCAGTGTTACCTGCTCCCAGGTGTTACCTGCTCTCATGTGTTACCTGCTCTCATGTATTACCTGCTCCCAGGTCAGTGTTACCTGCTCTCATGTGTTACCTGCTCTCATGTATTACCTGCTCCCAGGTCAGTGTTACCTGCTCCCAGGTGTTACTTGCTCTCAGGTGTTACCTGCTCTCAGGTGTTACCTGCTCTCCAGTGTTACCTGCTCCCAGGTGTTACCTGCTCTCATGTGTTACCTGCTCTCATGTATTACCTGCTCCCAGGTCAGTGTTACCTGCTCTCATGTGTTACCTGCTCTCAGGTGTTACCTGCAACCAGGTCAGTGTTACATACTCCCAGGTGTTACCTGCTCTCAGGTGTTACCTGCTCTCAGGTGTTACTTGCTCCCAGGTGTTACCTGCTCTCAGGTCAGTGTTACCTGCTCTCAGGTCGGTGTTACCTGCTCCCAGGTGTTACCTGCTCCCAGGTGTTACCTGCTCTCATGTGTTACCTGCTCTCAGGTGTTACCTGCTCTCCAGTGTTACCTGCTCCCAGGTGTTACCTGCTCCCAGGTGTTACCTGCTCTCATGTGTTACCTGCTCTCAGGTGTTACCTGCAACCAGGTCAGTGTTACATACTCCCAGGTGTTACCTGCTCTCAGGTGTTACTTGCTCCCAGGTGTTACCTGCTCTCAGGTCAGTGTTACCTGCTCTCAGGTCGGTGTTACCTGCTCCCAGGTGTTACCTGCTCCCAGGTGTTACCTGCTCTCAGGTCAGTGTTACCTGCTCTCATGTGTTACCTGCTCTTAGGATTGTGTTACCTTCTCTCAGGACAGTGTTACCTGCTCACAGGTGTTACCTGCTCTCAGGTCAGTGTTATCTGCTCTCAGGTGTTACCTGCTCTCAGGTCAGTGGTACCTGCTCTCAAGTCAGTGTTACCTGCTCTCAGGATAACACACCTACTCCCAGATCAGTCCCTCTTGCTCCTAATTTTGTCCATCATGCTCACTGTGTTGTTCTTTCTGCTTTCAAGTCAAGTCAGTCCCTCCTGCTCTCAAATCAGTCCTACTCCACCTGCCCTCAATGTTGCCCCTAACTGTTCTCTTGTAAATGTTGTCTCAACTACATTCATGTCAGACAACCCCAATCTGCTAGCTCTACAACCCCACCTAATGTCAGACAACCCCACCTAATGTCAGACAATCCCACCTAATGTCATACAACCCCACCTAATGTCAGACAACCCCACCTAATGTCAGACAACCCCACCTAATGTCAGACAATCCCACCTAATGTCAGACAACCCCACCTAATGTCATACAACCCCACCTAATGTCAGACAACCCCACCTAATGTCAGACAACCCCACCTAATGTCAGACAACCCCACCTAATGTCAGACAACCCCACCTAATGTCATACAACCCCACCTAATGTCATACAACCCCACCTAATGTCAGGCAACCCCACCTAATGTCAGGCAACCCCACCTAATGTCAGACAACCCCACCTAATGTCAGACAACCCCACCTAATGTCAGACAACCCCACCTAATGTCAGACAACCCCACCTAATGTCAGACAACCCCACCTAATGTCAGACAACCCCACCTAATGTCAGACAACCCCACCTACTCCTGCTCCTGACTGAGGTTAGCTCTGAGTTACAACGACTCCGGATAGCCATGCTCCTTAAACTTCTCATAGACTGGAGACATTATGTCTCGGAATAAGTTAAAGTGTTGTAACTCTTCTGGAATGGTATGTGTTGTCGCTTCACTTTACGTAGCTTACAATCCCACCGTATTAATGGCATTAATGAGAAACTCATGAAATCTCTCTATGAAGCTAACGACCTCACTGTGTTCAAACTAATGGCATCACTGAAAGTGTCCTATATTCTCTTCAGGTATCAACAGACGACACACAACAGCCGGACAACCCGATGGAGTGAGACAGTTTTGAAAGTCTGGGTAAATTTCAAGACAATTTGGAGGTGAAGGTCTTCGTGTAGTACCTTCATTTTCTATTGAAGGTCTTCGTGTAGTACCTTCATTTTCTATTGAAGGTCTTCGTGTAGTTCCTTCATTTTGTATTGAAGGTCTTCACATTGTATCATTATTTTCTATACTAACTGTATAAGCAGAATATATTTAGTAATTTACATTCATCGTTCACCACACTCATTTCTTTGATGTAAAAGTCATCAGTACTTTGTGTGAACAGTGAATAAAAATAAATAACAAAGGAGTATGACTTAATTGGATCACTTTAACCAGGTAAATGGAGAAGATAACTACTTCTGTCACACGTCGGTAAAGTTCAAGTAAATATATCGGGTAGATGAAGTAGAGTTCATCTGTTTCTCTAGCCTTGCCGTGTGAAAAGACTGTGTAGTCATCACTATTTTCAGGCTTTTTGGTCAGATACCCTTCATAGCTAAATGGACAGTGACGTCCTGTCCTTCATAGCTAAGTGGACAGTGACGTCCTGTCTTTCATAGCTAAATGGACAGTGACGTCATGTCCTTCATAGCTAAGTGGACAGTGACGTTCTACTTTCATAGCTAAGTGGACAGTGACGTCCTAACCTTCATAGCTAAGTGGACAGTGACGTCCTAACCTTCATAGCCGTTTAGACAGTGACGTCCTAACCTTCATAGCCGTTTAGACAGTGACGTCCTAACCTTCATAGCTAAGTGGACAGTGACGTCATGTCCTTCATAGCTAAGTGGACAGTGACGTTCTACTTTCATAGCTAAGTGGACAGTGACGTCATGCCCTTCATGGCTAAGTGGACAGTGACGTTCTACTTTCATAGCTAAGTGGACAGTGACGTCCTAACCTTCATAGCCGTTTAGACAGTGACGTCCTGTCCTTCATAGCTTAGTGGACACTGACGTCCTAACCTTCATAGCCGTTTAGACAGTGACGTCCTGTCCTTCATAGCTAAGTGGACAGTGACGTTCTACTTTCATAGCTAAGTGGACAGTGACGTCCTAACCTTCATAGTCGTTTAGACAGTGACGTCCTGTCCTTCATAGCTTAGTGGACACTGACGTCCTAACCTTCATAGTCGTTTAGACAGTGACGTCCTGTCCTTCATAGCTAAGTGGACAGTGACGTTCTACTTTCATAGCTAAGTGGACAGTGACGTTCTACTTTCATAGCTAAGTGGACACTGACGTCCTAACCTTCATAGCTAAGTGGACACTGACGTCCTAACCTTCATAGCTAAGTGGACAGTGACGTTCTACTTTCATAGCTAAGTGGACACTGACGTCCTAACCTTCATAGCTAAGTGGACAGTGACGTTCTACTTTCATAGCTAAGTGGACACTGACGTCCTAACCTTCATAGTCGTTTAGACAGTGACGTCCTGTCCTTAATAGCTTAGTGGACACTGACGTCCTAACCTTCATAGTCGTTTAGACAGTGACGTCCTGTCCTTCATAGCTAAGTGGACAGTGACGTTCTACTTTCATAGCTAAGTGGACAGTGACGTCCTAACCTTCATAGCCGTTTAGACAGTGACGTCCTGTCCTTCATAGCTTAGTGGACACTGACGTCCTAACCTTCATAGTCGTTTAGACAGTAACGTCCTGTCCTTCATAGCTAAGTGGACAGTGACGTTCTACTTTCATAGCTAAGTGGACAGTGACGTCCTAACCTTCATAGTCGTTTAGACAGTGACGTCCTGTCCTTCATAGCTTAGTGGACACTGACGTCCTAACCTTCATAGTCGTTTAGACAGTGACGTCCTGTCCTTCATAGCTAAGTGGACAGTGACGTTCTACTTTCATAGCTAAGTGGACAGTGACGTTCTACTTTCATAGCTAAGTGGACACTGACGTCCTAACCTTCATAGCTAAGTGGACACTGACGTCCTAACCTTCATAGCTAAGTGGACAGTGACGTTCTACTTTCATAGCTAAGTGGACACTGACGTCCTAACCTTCATAGCTAAGTGGACAGTGACGTTCTACTTTCATAGCTAAGTGGACACTGACGTCCTAACCTTCATAGTCGTTTAGACAGTGACGTCCTGTCCTTAATAGCTTAGTGGACACTGACGTCCTAACCTTCATAGTCGTTTAGACAGTGACGTCCTGTCCTTCATAGCTAAGTGGACAGTGACGTTCTACTTTCATAGCTAAGTGGACAGTGACGTCCTAACCTTCATAGCCGTTTAGACAGTGACGTCCTGTCCTTCATAGCTTAGTGGACACTGACGTCCTAACCTTCATAGTCGTTTAGACAGTAACGTCCTGTCCTTCATAGCTAAGTGGACAGTGACGTTCTACTTTCATAGCTAAGTGGACAGTGACGTTCTACTTTCATAGCTAAGTGGACACTGACGTCCTAACCTTCATAGCTAAGTGGACACTGACGTTCTACTTTCATAGCTAAGTGGACACTGACGTCCTAACCTTCATAGCTAAGTGGACAGTGACGTTCTACTTTCATAGCTAAGTGGACACTGACGTCCTAACCTTCATAGCTAAGTGGACACTGACGTCCTAACCTTCATAGCTAAGTGGACAGTGACGTCCTAACCTTCATAGCCGTTTAGACAGTGACGTCCTGTCCTTCATAGCTTAGTGGACACTGACGTCCTAACCTTCATAGTCGTTTAGACAGTAACGTCCTGTCCTTCATAGCTAAGTGGACAGTGACGTTCTACTTTCATAGCTAAGTGGACAGTGACGTTCTACTTTCATAGCTAAGTGGACACTGACGTCCTAACCTTCATAGCTAAGTGGACACTGACGTTCTACTTTCATAGCTAAGTGGACACTGACGTCCTAACCTTCATAGCTAAGTGGACAGTGACGTTCTACTTTCATAGCTAAGTGGACACTGACGTCCTAACCTTCATAGCTAAGTGGACACTGACGTCCTAACCTTCATAGCTAAGTGGACACTGACGTCCTAACCTTCATAGCTAAGTGGACAGTGACGTCCTAACCTTCATAGCCGTTTAGACAGTGACGTCCTGTCCTTCATAGCTTAGTGGACACTGACGTCCTAACCTTCATAGCTAAGTGGACAGTGACGTCCTAACCTTCATAGCCGTTTAGACAGTGACGTCCTAACCTTCATAGCCGTTTAGACAGTGACGTCCTACGGACCGGAGCCTGTGGACTGTGTGGTGGTAATCGCGCGCTCTACCACACGACCACGCCGTACATCATACAACATTATATTTTGTATTTTTTGCCATCTTAAAGAATGTTGAGCACCGCCATTTATCGTATTCTATACTGTTATAAATATGTTATTTTACTAATCTTTCAAGCAGGATTTATAAAGAATAATTTAAGCTCATAAATCAGTCTCAAGATTAGGTCTAAGAAGCCGTTGATGTTTGTGCAGGGTTAAAAGTTTCTAAACATTCATTCACTGACACCTGTTGGTGGTGAGTAAACCTTGCCAGGTGCGCGGATTAAGACGTTAATCCCCACCACCTGTAGCTGTCGTTAATTATACATTTGGGTTTTAGGTTATCAAAACCGACACGAAAACATAAAGCTCGGTGTAAATTTAAAAATGGCACTTCTAAAAACGTTAAACTAGGCCTCACATTCCACGAATCTTTGTAACAACGGTTTTGTATAAAAACAACTAGGCCTACTGCTTCAAAGTCGTTTGCAATCACGTTTAAGTTCACATATAGCGTATTGGTAGCGATCTGTTTTTCTTATGTGTGAGTGAGTTAAAGAACACTTTCTTTAAAACTTTTCTGAACTCGGGGTGTTTCTATTTATTGTTTTAATTTTTTTTTCTGCTATACATTTAACGAGTATGTTTTTTCTTATATTCCCTTAGAACTATAACCTGTCTGTATATCGTTTACCGAGGCGACTAGTTTTGTAATGGCCCTCTTCTAGTGTTGGCTTAAGGTGATTTTACAGATAACAACGTGCTATAGTTCGTACTTTGACATAGGCTACAAGATATCACTCCAACACACACAAAAATCAGTTCATGTTAATGTTCTGTCAGATTAAGAGATTAGTGCTTTAATCATTTGTCGGGTGAAAATAAAAATAAATGCAAACACTATATTAGATCTGGTTTCCAAATAAAACAATCAAGACAGTCGGTCGAGGTTTTTGGATACTTTTAGAATAGTGTATTTAGCAGATGTGCACAGCTTATAATGTTAAACTGATTTTCTTAAAACTTTTAGAAAATATTTCAATATGTTTTGTTTTTATTTAAATTGTATTTTAAATAATTAAGCTAGTGCTTGAATATTGACTGAACAAATAGGAAATAAATTGGTTACGAAATCGAATTTTACGACCGTATACAATATCAACAGAGCAATTTTAATCAGTGCTAAAATGTGTTAATTTGTTGCCCTTAATCCATCAAAACTTCATAAAATACATCACCATCTAAACACTTCTCCAAGTTAATCTCAAGGTGTTTGGTACCGCGGGTTTCGGCGCCCTACCTATTCGGCGCCCTACATATTCACTTGGACTGTCATGTTCTGGGACCTGTTGTCAGCGCCCTCCACGGTTGGTGCAGCTCTCTCAGTTCTAGACGCACTCTGGGCGCTCTCTTCGTCTCCAGGGCGCTGCATGGGCTGCACCGCGATACCGCTGGCAAGGTCATCACTGGCTACTGCTGCGTTCAATCCGGCGGTGTCTGCTACTCCAGCGGCGGCATTGGCTGCGGAGTCGTCTGTAGGCCCGACTGCGGCATTAGCTGCGGCGTCGTCAGCTACAGCAGCACCAGCATCAGCATTTGCTGCAAGCTAGGGGGGGGGGGGGGGTAAAGAAGATCATTACTGGGATATTTTTAACATTCTCCCATGTTTAGTATTATCTTCATTCTATACATGCATTGATACAAACTGTCACAGCCATATATCTAAGCATAAAAGAACGTTAATCGTATTTGAAAAGTATTCTAAATACGTCGTGTTTTAACTGTATTCTGTATTACACAAACAGGCCTACACTCATTACAGGAGCCTTGACAAACTGATGCAGATGATTACATGGAATACGGAGATATCAATCGTTTATACTTATTTAAGCTACGCCTTGTCTTGAACTGTGCTTTATTTGCAACAACAAAAAGCAATAATTGTACTTTTAATATTTCGAGATATTGTATCAAAAAGTTCTTTATGTCTCTAGTATCGCATCGATTAATTTATAGAATAACAAGATAGAGGTTTATAAAGTCGAATATGTTATACTTGAACTGACCTGTGCCCCCTCGACAACATCCCCAGGGTGGATAGAGATGGGACACTTCTTGCAACACTCCCCTTCAGGCAGATAGGCCTCCTTGTTGTCCGGACAGACGATGGTGTCGTTACACTTGATCTTGTAGCAGATGGAAGACTTTTCCACCACACACTTGCATAGCTCGCATGGATCTGGGTAGTAGACCTCTCCTGCCTGGGAAAGTATAAAAGTTGGCAATGTGAGGCAGACGTAGATCAGTTGGTGGGGGGTTAATGCAACTGATTACAATATTGGAGCTGAGGTTTAATTATTTAGATTTAAAGACTTAAGGAAAATTGTTAATATTACTGATAAAACAAATTTGGGGCAAATTTTTTAAGTTACAGATTTAAAGACTTAGTGCAAATGGTTAAAATTACTGATTTAAAAAGTTTGGGCAAAGAGTTAAAGTTGCGGAATTGAACACACTTTAGACAGAAAGTTAAAATTACAGATTTAAATATATCTGGCAGATGTTTGATATTACAATTTTAAAGACTTGTGGTAAGGGGTTAAAATTAGAGAATTAAAGATTTGAATCAGAGATTGGATGTCAACTGCATCACACTTTCAAACTTAAATTAGAAAGTTCTGAAACTAGAACCACAACCCAGATATCCAGAAGCTTTTAAAAATTAACATTTTCAATTGTTGTATATTATGATCATATCACAGTCGTATGATAAAATATTGTCACCAATAATCCTACCCGTGCATATCGATTGTACGGTAATTTGGAGCTAGCTGATAGGAAGCTAACCTCAGTGGAACAGAGACTTAAGTAGAGGCAAATGTCAGTGGAACAGAGACTTAAGTAGAGGCAAATGTCAGTGGAACAGAGACTTAAGTAGAGGCAAATGTCAGTAGAACAGAGACTAAAGTAGAGGCAAATGTCAGTGGAACAGAGACTAAAGTAGAGGCAAATGTCAGTGGAACAGAGACTAAAGTAGAGGCAAATGTCAGTAGAACAGAGACTAAAGTAGAGGCAAATGTCAGTGGAACAGAGACTAAAGTAGAGGCAAATGTCAGTGGAACAGAGACTAAAGTAGAGGCAAATGTCAGTAGAACAGAGACTAAAGTAGAGGCAAATGTCAGTAGAACAGAGACTAAAGTAGAGGCAAATGTCAGTGGAACAGAGACTTAAGTAGAGGCAAATGTCAGTGGAACAGAGACTAAAGTAGAGGCAAATGTCAGTGGAACAGAGACTAAAGTAGAGGCAAATGTCAGTAGAACAGAGACTAAAGTAGAGGCAAATGTCAGTAGAACAGAGACTAAAGTAGAGGCAAATGTCAGTGGAACAGATACTAAAGTAGAGGCAAATGTCAGTAGAACAGAGACTAAAGTAGAGGCAAATGTCAGTGGAACAGATACTAAAGTAGAGGCAAATGTCAGTGGAACAGAGACTAAAGTAGAGGCAAATGTCAGTGGAACAGAGACTAAAGTAGAGGCAAATGTCAGTGGAACAGAGACTAAAGTAGAGGCAAATGTCAGTGGAACAGAGACTAGAGGCAAACCTCACCTACCTTATATTCTACACCATTATTCTCACAATTGCTAGTTCTGATGATGGGTTTGGCCTCTTGACCATTGGTCAATTCAAATATGACCACACATAGCAGAGCACTCAGCGCGAAACAGATTTTCATCTTAAAACTTTAGAACAGTCTGAGCACAATCAGAAAGAAAGAAAGAACCGCTGGTTTTACTTGATCAAGATGCTTTTAACTGGCTGGGTTCTGCTACTTACGTCCAAATGAAATATCCCAAGACAAGTGCTCGCCTATATCAACAACTTAATACACAAATATACAGCTGCACCTGCAGTCAATCGATATGTAAATAAGTTCCAACAGGCAATTGCCCAATATTAACTTCTGTAACAGATTTGGCAAAAAAAAATGGATCAATGTTCTGGCAGAGGGATTAACTTTACTTACATGAAGGATTAACCGTAGAATTTTTTGTGAGTTAAAGTTTTAGAGAGAAAAAAATGTTTGGCAGTAAATATGCTGAGGTGCATAAAAATGTTTTCTACAGAAGGTGTGTGTGGGGGGGGGGGGGAGTTGTTGTTCGTTATGGTGTGATTTCACATTAGCAGAAACATTTAGTTTAACTATTAAACTCTTGAGTACCCAGGTGGTCCAAATATAAGCCAAAGATGATTTATTTGCATAGGGAATAAAGAAGAGATAAAATTGTTCAGAATAGAAGTGGAAAAATAAATGAGAAAATATCTTTAAAAATGTCAAAGATAATTTTGAATTCTGCATAAATAAGACAAATATTAACTGGAAAAAAAACCAAGAAATAATACAAAAATAATTTCAATGATCATAAATTGGTGCTTGAAACTGGATTGGATTTATGATTAAGGACTAATTAGAGAAAATTATTACAACATATATTCGACTCATGTAAGACACCACCCACCCTTTCCCAACCCTTTCCCTAGATCATGACATCACAGGCCAACGTGAGTATTGACCATCGTATATTTGTCGGTCAGTTCTCGCCGTTCAGCTCCGAACGATGTAAGGTGCCGCAGGGTCGGGGAAAGAACGACAGGTGGCGCCACTCACCGAGCTTAGCCAGGCGTTAACGTCGCGTGCTGCCAGCGATCAGGTTGGCCGGGATGAAAGACCAACTTTGTTTTGAAGTTTCTGACATAGGAGCCACGCCGGTCTTAGTCAAAGGGAATGTTAAGTGGCCGAGATTTCAAGTAACGTGGCCAAGATTTGAAGTAACGTGGCCAAGATTTGAAGTAACGTGGCCAAGATTTGAAGTAACGTGGCCAAGATGTGAAGTAACGTGACCAAGATTTGAAGTAACGTGGCCAAGATTTGAAGTAACGTGGCCAAGATTTGAAGTAACGTGGCCAAGATTTGAAGCTATGTGGCCAAGATTTGAAGTGTAACGTGGCCAAGATTTCAAATAACGTGGCCAAGATTTGAGGTAACGTGTACAAAGATTTCAAGTAACGTGGCCAAGATTTGAAGTAACCTGGCCAAGATTTGAAGTAACATGGCCAAGATTTCAAGTAACGTGGCCAAGATTTGAAATAACGTGGCTAAGATGTGAAGTAACATGGCCAAGATTTGAAGTTATGTGGCCAAAATTTGAAGTAACGTGGCCAAGATGTGAAGTAACGTGGCCAAGATGTGAAGTTATGTGGCCAAGATTTGAAGTAACGTGGCCAAGATGTGAAGTAACGTGGCCAAGATGTGAAGTTATGTGGCCAAGATTTGAAATTCGGTATCATAAAAGAGTGTTGCCTTTACGTTTCTGTTTGATAGGAAATCCGTTACAACATGCATTCATATAAAAAAATTAAATGGCCTAAAGTAATTAAACAAATCTTTGTTATAATAGTAAAACCATTGGTCAACAAATATTTTGATACACTTTGACCAACACGTTTACTTTAACTAGAAAGCTAATGACAATATATGTTTGTCTTATTTTCAGTACATTTAAAAGAAGTTTATTGGTGTAAGGTTTTACTCTCTCCATTCGATGTGAACACTAGCTTACCTTGCTCATAAGGTTATCAACACTCAATTGTTTTCATCTTGCTTGTAACTGAATATAGCAATATTTTAATTAATTTGTTATTAATTTAATAAATAATTATATTGTGAATGACATATCTAGCATAGTCATCGAAAAGTTATTGCTTCAGTAGAACTTTTTGCTCCAAAATTAGCTTGACCACAGAAGACAAACAGACAAACACACATCCGAACAGCGACAGAATAGGCTGTAAGTGAAAAACAGAGGTTATTTTTTTACAAAAGGCTCCCTTTAACATTCATTCTGACATTTATTTCAGATGACGAATCTGATAAATCAATTTTGGCTTTTAAAGTGTGTGCATGTGTGTGCTTGTGTGAGCGCGCGTGTGTGCACGTGTGTGTGCTTGTGTGAGCGCGTGTGAAATTTAAATGTACATTCATAAAAAAATGTCCTCTCGCGAACACTTTGCTTTTAAAATTATTTCACCACATTAAAATTTTGCTGCTCTTGCGATTTTGACAAATATTAAGAATGAAGTTTAGAATAAATCTAAGCTAATTCTCTGCTAAAGCTAATCTATATTCTATTTAATATTTTTTTAATTGTAAACGAACTTCGAAAATTAGAAACAAAAAAAAAATCAACCGCCCAGTGAAAGAAAAAAATCGATTTTCTGCATCTGAAGCGTGAAATGAATTTTTTAAAACATTTGTTTCATAATGGCCTGGGCTGATGGTAAACGTGTTGCCTGGCGTGGGCACAGGTTATTGGAGGCGTTGGTAGGTGGGGGTCAAGGGTTACGTTATATATGTGGACCCAGGTTATTGGAGGTGTTGGTAGGTGGGGGTAAAGGGTTACGTTATATCTGTGGCCCAGGTTATTGGAGGTGTAGGTAGATGGGGGTCAAGGGTTACGTTATATCTGTGGGCGTGGGCCCAGGTTATTGGAGGTGTAGGTAGATGGGGGTCAAGGGTTACGTTATATCTGTGGGCGTGGGCCCACGTTATTGGAGGTGTTGGTAGGTGGGGGTCAAGGGTTACGTTATATCTGTGGGCGTGGACCCAGGTTATTGGAGGTGTTGGTAGGTGGGGGTCAAGGGTTACGTTATATCTGTGGGCCCAGGTTATTGGAGGTGTTGGTAGGTGGGGGTCAAGGGTTACGTTATATCTGTGGGCCCAGGTTATTGGAGGTGTTGGTAGGTGGGGGTCAAGGGTTACGTTATATCTGTGGACCCAGGTTATTGGAGGTGTTGGTAGGTGGGGGTCAAGGGTTACGTTATATCTGTGGGCCCAGGTTATTGGAGGTGTTGGTAGGTGGGGGTCAAGGGTTACGTTATATCTGTGGGCGTGGACCCAGGTTATTGGAGGTGTAGGTAGGTGGGGGTCAAGGGTTACGTTATATCTGTGGGCCCAGGTTATTGGAGGTGTTGGTAGGTGGGGGGTCAAGGGTTACGTTATATCTGTGGGCGTGGGCCCAGGTTATTGGAGGTGTAGGTAGGTGGGGGTCAAGGGTTACGTTATATATGTGGGCGTGGGCCCAGGTTATTGGAGGTGTAGGTAGGTGGGGGTCAAGGGTTATGTTATATCTGTGGGCGTGGGCCCAGGTTATTGGAGGTGTAGGTAGGTGGGGGTCAAGGGTTACGTTATATCTGTGGGCGTGGACCCAGGTTATTGGAGGTGTTGGTAGGTGGGGGTCAAGGGTTACTTTATATATGTGGGCCCAGGTTATTGGAGGTGTTGGTAGGTGGGGGTCAAGGGTTACGTTATATCTGTGGGCGTGGACCCAGGTTATTGGAGGTGTTGGTAGGTGGGGGTCAAGGGTTATGTTATATCTGTGGACCCAGGTTATTGGAGGTGTTGGTAGGTGGGGGTCAAGGGTTACGTTATATCTGTGGGCGTGGACCCAGGTTATTGGAGGTGTTGGTAGGTGGGGGTCAAGGGTTATGTTATATCTGTGGACCCAGGTTATTGGAGGTGTAGGTAGGTGGGGGTCAAGGGTTATGTTATATCTGTGGGCCCATGTGGGTTACGTTATATATGTGGGCCCATGTGGGTTACGTTATATATGTGGGCCCATGTGGGTTACGTTATATATGTGGGCCCATGTGGGTTACGTTATATATGTGGGCCCATGTGGGTTACGTTATATATGTGGGCCCATGTGGGTTAAGTTAGTGGCGTCGCTAGGTCAGGTGTCAACCGGTGCGGCACCGCATGGTGTCACCCCACCCCGGTCGTTAACTGAAAATATTCAACTAAACTTTTATTTCCTCTGTAAATTTAGCAATTTGTTTAACTCCCCCCCCACACCAACTTGTCGGGGTCAGTCATCAATTTGTATTTAAAAAACTTTTAAACTTTAATTAGTTATCAATTGAACCAGTAAAAAGCATTTTTTTCTATATATTTTTAATTTTTTGGTCCTAATGCCCCCCCCCCCCCCCAAATGGTGTCACAAAAATGCGGTCTGGACCCCACCCCCGCATCCGACGCCCCTGGGTTACATTATATCTAAGTGGGTCCAGGTTATTGGAGCTGTTGTTAGACCAGGTGAGGTTGGGGGTTACGTTACATCCAACTTAGCAGTTGATCAGAAGCTTTAATCATAGGAGTTAGTTTTTTGTTGTGATGAGTTAATGTTATTGTACACAGAAACACAAATATATGAGCAATAACAGGAATATACACAAATAAGGACACACACACATACAAACATACAAGCACACACAGTATGCCGCATTTGTACATTCTTACAGGTAAAACAATGCTCGTCCTTTTTAAACACACATCAAGACACACACAACACAAAACATATAACAAACGCACTAATGTATATGTACACACTAAGTAGTGACATGCATGTACACAGATACATCTCCTCTCTCTGGGTATTACTTTCTCTCCTTTGCTTTCCTTTTATATCCTCTCACCTTCCTCTTTCCCTACCCCCACCCAACTCCATCCCCATCTCCCATTTCCACCCCACCCACCTTTGTTATTTAAAACATTCCAATCGTTTCGATAGAATCAAATCACAAATTGAAACCTAAGCTTAATTTTAGTGCAAAATTGCTAAATATTTTTTCTATTTATAAATATGTACATTATGTAAATAACGGAACGATTTGGAATAAATTTATAAACAATTTTTGAAATCAAAGAACGTTGAACGGGCTTTAGCAACGGAGCGAAATTCGCTACTAATTTGGGTGGAGCTATAATTAATTAAGCTGATTACTTTTGTTTGGGATCAATAAAGGGAAAGTCAAGCAGGGATGGTTTGTGTAACACTTGGTTAGTATGTGGGAAAGGTGTGGGCACAGTTATGGTGTGTATGTGGGGGTGGGG